CAAGGGGGGTATGAAATCCCCCCCCCCCAACCTCCTGTCTGGGGATCCTCCCCCGGAAAATTTTAGAAATTTGTAATATAATTAGACGCATTTTGAGGCTTCCGTGCTCGGATTTTCCATCAATGTCTACAGCAAAATTACGTTTCCTTTTTGAACTTTCAGCAAAAAAGACTTTTATATTATATGCATTCAAGAAGGTCCTGAAAATTTTTGAAATTTTGACCCTATTTGGACGCATTTCTAGGCTTCTGTAACACGGATTTTTCATAAATTTATGCAGGAAAATCACCCTTCTTTTACTTTAACACAAAATACATTCGAATTGTTACATTCAACAAAGCTGGAAAATTTTTGAAACAACTCTATTTGGACGCATTTTGAGGCTTTTCTGACGAAAATTTCAGGAATAATGAACACGGTGTTTTCATTTAAGACTCTACATTAAAAGAGGTAAATATCTTCGACGGTCTCAAACTTCTTCTTTTTTCGCACACTCTCATCTTCTGTCTCCTCTTTCCTTCTCTCTTTTCCTTCCTTTTTTTTGCTTTCGGGGGAGGGGAGAGGGGCTTGAGCCCCCCAAGCCCCCTCTGACTACGTGCCTGCCTATTTATAGTCAGCAAGCAGAATGCAACTTGATTTTACTCTTCATTCCTTTGTGATTTTGCGGATAAGGGGGAGAGTCTGAGCACCGATTTTGCGGTCACGCCTGAATAAATGGAAACTGGAGTTAGGAATCAAGTTCGCCCACAACTCGATGGATTCAATTTGAGCGGCTCGGGAGTTGAAACAGTCGTATCGCGTATTTTCGCTGAGAGTGATGCCCGATGGACGATTGACTCTCGCTGTATAATCGCATCGTGTTTGTAATGAAAGGTCCAATAACTTTCACTCGATCCTCCACAGGTAGTGTAAGATACATGTAGGTGAAAACTCGATCCATTTTTGCAAGAAAAAAACATGCATGCAAAGTGCGTGGGGATTTAAGTGTTGTGGGTCAAGAGATGTGGGTGAAAAGGTGTGGGTGAATTGGACGCATATATGGTAAATGGAACTATGTCTCGCGCAAACCCTATGCACATAGTTCCTTTTAGCATAAATACGTCCTATTATACAGTGGGTGATTAGTCAGTGGGCGAGAGGTCCCGGTATCCATTTCATTGGGAGGTCCAGCACAGCGCCAAGAAACGTAATTTAGAGAAGCGGTTTACAAAAACCAAAAACTCTGTAGATTTTCATACATACATACGTACATACATACATACATACATACATACAAGTCGCTTTACAGCACTCCCTCGCGCTCTACGACTCCTGACCTCCACTGCTCTCTTTCAAACCACAAATCTTGGGGGATTGAGCACCTTAACATTTCCGCTTCAACCCCCCCCCCCCCCNCCCCCCCCCCCCTACAACCTTTCATTGGGCGCCCTCTGCGTCGTCTGCGTAGATTTTCAAAATCCAATAAAACCTTTTATTGGTAATGCCTGGATTTGTCACCACTCTCAAGGCGCAGGAGTACTTTTGGGATGAGCCTTATTTCCCATACAACTCAAACCTCTCCAAGTATCGTGTCAAAACGGAGTCACGCCCATACTTTGAGGGAGCGACGATTTGTTTAGCGGCACTCGACACGCGCTAACTCGTTAAAAAATGTAGAATGAAAAATGAAGAGTGCACAACACCACCCTCGGCGAAAATTTCCTCTCCGAATCAATCGAAGGACAATTTTGCCACTGTAACATGATACAAATGGAAAACGTTTCACACGAGAGAAATCTCTGAGGGTTCATTTTGCGGTGGTGTTCAAAGGTCGAAGGTCGCCCCCGCGGTTCCTGAATTAATAATTCCTCGTCGAGATTTCCACGCGCACGTTTACAGGCGTCGCCCCGGTCTGGAAGCTCCCGGAGTCGCGATTAGGAAGAGGGCCCTAGGTAATCCTCTTCGACACTTTCGGAGTTTAACATCTAAGATGCATCGGGACGCACCGCATTCGCATTAATAATCGGAACCGGAGTTGCTCCTCAATCGATCGTCATGAGGACTTTTCCAAGGGATTCTTGGGATCCTTCCTGGCAAAGCGCAACACCGGGAACAGCTCGAGGTTTTGCATAACTCCTCGCGATCAAGGCGTGTCGCACATCAGGATGCTCCGAGGTGCACGCGCCCTCAATGAGGAAGAGCCCTACGCCGTACAGTGGATCGAGTCAATACGAGAGGTCGGACAAGAATTTGCCACTAAAACTGCAATTTTACATGTTTATTTCTTCAAATTTTAATGTGTGGGGGGTGCCATTTAAGGTAAATTTTACGAGAAAATCAATGAGACCACTTTTAAGACCTCGACGTTTCGTAATAATGGAGTTATGAGCCTTTGAAGTTTCAAAATTTTGTCCGAGTGCCGTCATTGACTCGTTCCATTGTGCGCCGTACAGTGGATCGAGGCAATCGGAGAGGTCGCACATGTAATTTTTGACTAAAACTGAACATTTTGGTGTTTATCTCGTCACATTTTACATTTCTAGGGGTGCTTCAGGTAGCAAATTTCAAGAGGAAACCAATTGATTAAACATTTGAATTTTTTCCCATCGATTTTTTGAAGACTTCAATCCGTGACCAAGGAATCTTAGTCGACTTGAACTCAAAATTGATAACAGCAAGCCTGTGGAGCAAAATTTCTTTGCATTGACAAATTATTTTCCGGAAAACTTGAAACATTTGAGTTTTTCCCCTTGAATTTTTCAGAGGATTCACTCCATGACCCAGGAACCTTAGTCGATACCAACTCAGAAAATTGAATTATTAATAATGAAATAATTATTAATAATGAAATAATTATTAATAATGAAATAATTATTAATAATGAAATAATTATTAATAATGAAACATTTCTAGGGGTGCTTCAGGTAGCAAATTTCAAGAGGAAACCAACGGAACCATTTTTAGAACCTCAAAGTTTTGTATAAACGGACCTATAAGCGTTTAAAGTTTCCGAATTTCGTCCGACCTATCCTATTGACTCGATCCACCGTGCGGGCGTATCTCAATTTCCACATGAGCCCTGTTTTAAAAAGAGTCCTTGCTTTCTACGGTCCGATTATTGAAATTGATAGACAAAGCAATAGACACAGAAGACGTAGGGAGTACGGGAGATGGGAGAAAGTGGGTTTTTGCCGGCGGCCCTGATACACGTCTCGCCGCACCATAGTGAATCTTGAACAAGAGAGCCGCCCGCTTTTTTATCGATTGCATTGATGATGCAAACATGTTCAAGAGGGTAAATCCGAGAAACACCTCTTCCGCAGATTTACCTTTGAGGATATAGTTGGAATAAAATAATTGCACGTATACGTGCAATTATTTTATTCCACGAAAATTTCAAAAGAGAAAATGTACCTCCACAACTTCCACCCTGCTTTTCAGTCGTACAGGGAAGAATCCTTTTGGATTAATTGAGAAAAATCACGTGCGTGGTTGTTGTAAAGTGTGCAGTAATAATCTGCCCAGTAGCGAGGATTCAATGATCGATTTTTCCCTATTTAAAGCTATGGTACAGAATCGATCATTAAGATGCTCGTTGCAAACACCTGTTTATCGATATTTTTCCGATATTTAAGTTTTAAATGGCAGATCATTCGATATATCGCAAGGCACGCCACGCCACTGAATCTGCCGTTAAAGACTAATGACCTGAAAAACTTATAAGTAGGCGACTTATACCCCTTTGCAGTTATCGTTTGCATAGTGCGGATATTGCATAGTGCGGATATCGGTGGCGGATATTATAGTGGCGCGCTGTGGGATGGGAGGGAAACAAATTTTCATTTAGTTTTATTTTTAATAAAAGGAGCCAGCATACACAGGCTGTCCCAAAAGTATTGAATATTTTTATTTGAGAGACGATCGAAAGCTGGCATCAAATGCAATTTGTGTGAGGTTCAAGGTCTTATTGTTATATTTATATATTCATTATGAAATGAGACCAACTTGACTCCTTTAAATTAAGAATTGGCTGCATCACAGAGTATTAAAATAAAATTTTATCTTTACCCTGACAATAGTGGAGTCGGTTTTTCTTTTCTCATTTAAATTTTATTTTAATGCTATTAATGTCGCGCCAAGAAAGAACGCCGTGTGAGCCTTCAGACGTTGCCGAATTTCCTCTAATGAAATACGAGTTTTCAGGGAAATCTGGTAGTAAAGTTCTTTCAATTTTTCAGAGGATTGCAAAGAAAAAATATTACGTAAAAAATTGCAATTAGATAATGATTTAATATTGAAAATTGCAATAAGATCTAAATTATCTGACAATTTCAAGAGAATATATTCATAAATCCCCTTACAAATAAACATATTACGTAAGGAGATTTGGCAACTCTCGAATGTTCATACGGCGTTTTTTCTTGCAAAACAGATTACATACCCCGATCAAGGATGAAATCATCAAATTTAAAGCATCACAGAGTGTTAAAAATGACTTCGCGCTGGTCACCCGATGATTTTGTTGCAGTGAAGGTGATTTCCAAAAGTCAAGGGGTTACACTGATAAAATTAAAGGATCATGCGAAATAATCATTGACAGGAGTCACTTATCTCCACCCAAGCTACTTTCAATAATCAGCCCGCTGTTATCAATAATTCAATTTTCTGAGTTAGTATCGACTAAGCTTCCTGGGTCATGGAGTATATCCTCTAAAAAAATTCAGGGGGAAAAATTCACATGTTTCAAGTTTTCCGGAAAATGATTTTTCAATGCAAAAAATTTTGCTCCACAGGTTTGCTGTTATCAATTTTGAGTTTAAGTCGAGTAAGATTCCTTGGTCACGGATTGAATTCTCTAACAAATTCCATGAAGATAAATTCAAATGTTTGATCAAGTTTTCTAGAAAAATTAAAATGTTTCAAGTTTTCCGGAAAATGATTTTTCAATGCAAAGAAATTTTGCTCCACAGGTTTGCTGTTATCAATTTTGAGTTTAAGTCGACCAAGATTCCTTGGTCACGGATTGAAGTCTCCAAAAATTTAATGGGGAAAAATTCAAATGTTTCAAGTTTTCCGAAAAATGATTTTTCAATGCAAAAAACTTTGCTCCACAGGTTTGCTGTTATCAATTTTGAGTTTAAGTCGAGTAAGATTCCTTGGTCACGGATTGAATTCTCTAACAAATTCCATGAAGATAAATTCAAATGTTTGATCAAGTTTTCTAGAAAAATTCAAATGTTTCAAGTTTTCCGGAAAATGATTTTTCAATGCAAAGAAATTTTGCTCCACAGGTTTGCTGTTATCAATTTTGAGTTTAAGTCGACCAAGATTCCTTGGTCACGGATTGAAGTCTCCAAAAATTTAATGGGGAAAAATTCAAATGTTTCAAGTTTTCCGGAAATTTCTTTCTCAATGAGAAGAAATTTTGCACGACGGACTTTTCCTTCCGAGCATCGTTCCTCGGGGAGGTGGCGGGTGTGGCGAGCTGCCCGTCGACGCGGGAGATCTCGCCGAGACAACTTTAAGTCGACTTTATAAATGTGTCTCTTGAACTTGCGGCACAAATTGAGTCCACAGTTCTTTCGAACGGTGCCCGCCTTTTCACTTGCCGCTCAAATGAAAATGACCCCCGGGGCTCGTGTCTGAAATTGCTTCCAAAGAGGTCGCACTGCCGTAGGCAAAGTCACACAGCGTTGCCTCCTTCGCAAAATTCATCCATCATGCAAAGATGAAAATGAAAAAATATAAAGAACCCTTGTGAAATGTGGAATTTAACAATGAGAAAAAGTAGCTTTGATGAGTGAAATAAAACTCATTTTCTTTGTATGCAAGACTTAGTCATTTTTTTATTATCATCGTATGTACAGTTTTTGGAAGTGTCTCATTGTGAATGTTTACTAAATTTTAAGCCAGGTTAAGGAATAGCCCTAGGAACTCAGTTGGGTAGTCTCCAGTTTATACATCGTGAAGAATTGTGGTCATTAACTTAATTGACTAGTCTCAACGTATGTATTGAATTTGTAAAACAAATAGTGCTTTTGTATAAAACGAAGATGTGGAATAAATAGTCAAAAAAAAAGAAGAAAAAAGGGAGTATAAAAATAAGAACCTCCGGTAAAAGGGAGATGTTAACGACATTTTCTGAAAAAATGTTCTTCTTGAATTGAAGGGAACTCGCGTTAAATATTTTTCAGGTAAATAATTGCAATTGCCTCGATGATCTTTATTTTCAATTAGAATCAATATTTTTTAAAAGTCGGCGCACGGATTCGCTAAAAAATTTACAATAATTTTACGAACGATTTTGATTGAAATCACGGGAAATTTCGTCGCGAAATTATATTTAGTCCTTTTTTCCTTTTTTTCTTTTTACGGAAAAAAACCACGGTCCTCGGTTCTAAATCTTAGCTCTTAGGAAAGTTACTTTTGTTTTTTATGTTGAAAATTAGATGGGAGTTATAAATAATGACGCATCGTCTAAGTGTCGCTGCGATTTTAGCGTTTGTCCCACCCGACAGAGTTGGAAGGGCGGTCATGACATCATCGCATTTTGACGCGCCTTCAATCCGGTGAAGCTGCAACATGCTTACACCCGTGGTCAAATAGTTGTATGTCACGCCTGCCGTAAAAGAACTCAAATATCGATGATTCCACGCGAAAAGGAGCTTCTTTCCCACGATTGCAACTTTGAAAACCACAGTTGATGCTTCAGTTTGAATCAATATTTTTTAAAAGTCGGCGCACAGATTCTCTGAAACATTTACAATAATTTTACAAACGATTTTAATTGAAATCACGGAAAATTTCGTCGCGATATAATTATCAGTCCTATTTTCCTTTTTTTTTACCGAAAAAACAAGCATAGTCCCGGATTCTAAATCGTAAGTATTGGGACACTTATTTTTGTTTTTTGCGGTGAACATTAAAAGAGAGTCATAAATAATGACGCATCGTCTAAGTGTCGCAGCGATTTTAGCGTTCGTCCCACCCGCAAGGGTCAACAGGGCGGTCAACACATCTTCGCAGTTTGACGCGCCTTCAATCCGGCGAAGCTGCAACATGCTTACACCCGTGGTCAAATAGTTGTATGTCACGCCTGCCGTAAACGAACTCAAATATCGATGGTTCCACGCGAAAAGGAGCTTATTTCCCTCGATTGCAACGTTGCAAACCTCAGTTGATGCTTCAATTTGAATCAATATTTTTTAAAAGTCGGCGCACAGATCCTTGAAACATTTACAATAATTTTAGGAACGATTATAATTGAAATCACGGGAAATTGCGTCGCGAAATAATATTTAGTCCTATTTTCCTTTTTTTCCATTTTAATTTTGGACGATTCGAGATGTTATATTTTATAAAACATATGTATAACATTTATATAACTTAATATAAGGTGTATGCGGTTTTCCTGATATTTTGCCTTGGTCTTCTCTATTTAACAGCATAAAAGGTGCACGAACAGGTAACTTCGTAAAGTTGGGACCAACAAGTAGAGATAATTTTTAAGTAAAAGATTCTTGGAGGAGAGACATTTAAGGTCTTTCAAGCACAATGAGAAACATTACGCTTTCTCTTAGCAACATCTGATGTCACTTAGGATGCTTTGATTTACTCTTTTACACTATGATTCAATGAGCTTATCATATCAAGACTGAAATCTTTTGCAAGATGGCAACACTGAAATAAGACGAGGGTAAGATGAAACTGATAAGCTGGGGTGGGAAATTAGAGGGCAGAATTGCAAGGTATAGTTAGAGGGAAATAATGAGAATTGTTAATTCAGTGGTTCAAAGCTTCTAGCCCCACAACACCACTCAAAAGACCCTTCAATCGTGCAAGCCTTCTGATTTAGTCCAAACTCAGAGTGATAGGCTATCATTCCTACACAAGTGCATACTGCATTGTAAGTTCCTTACTGCTTATTGGAGGCCAATGGGAGGTCGTCGTTAAGAAGAATATACCTATGTATACATATGTACAAAGAGAATTCGATAAAAAATAAAAAAAAGTGAAAAACCATGTTTAGTCTGTTTAGTGTTTTATCATTTATGCGCTTTCTCAGGGCTCCTTTCATGACAGGCTCCCTTCGTCTTTTGATGACAATTCACTCATTAGTCTGAATCTTGGATTTTTACAGGTAGTTGTGCCAAAGCGAGCTGCTATGCTATTGGATAGGATAATGTCAGCGCTTCAGAAAGCTGTGGACGATGATAACTCTGTGAGTATACCCGTTTTTGCATCAATTCAAATTATAGATATGCATCAGAGACGAAAAGGACAGTATAGAATTTATTCGTATATTCATAAGCTTCCTTTGGGAAAGAGGTATTTTACTTCATTTTAGTGTACGGAGGCAAATTTTTCAATTTTTTTTTCGAGTTGAGACGAAAAGTCGGATTTAGGAGAGTTTGACGAAGAACATTTTCTAAAATGCTCCCAAAATGTGCGGGGTTTTGTTCATTTTTCTGCAAATGGAGAGCAAAAAGTTTCAATGTAGTCCGGAGATACCATACACTGAACATGACTTAGAATTTTAAATATATTTCTCTCAAAATTAGGCAGGTTTTTTGAGTTAGGCACTGGATACTTCAGATCGTCATAACTCCGGTTTGTTTTTACATGCCTACTGTTTTGTCTTCAAATGCTTGCATCAATAACGTGATCTCATTGGTATATCAATAATGTAATTTTACTTTTTGGTGAACTAGGGACACTAGGGTCCATTTTCCCATGGACTGTTAATCGGGCTACATTTTTCAATTAGGAACCATAATTTCTAGCCCATTTGTAAGAACACTCATGTGCATAGCAAGACTATAATGGTACACATGTCCTTTTTAAACTGAGCCACATATTGCAGTTTCAAATGACAAAATGTAGTCCAATTCTGCTTATAATTCAAATTGTTTAAACCGAGGCTATTAGAATTTTGTCAAACCCCTATTTTTGAAAAAAATTGAGTCCTGGAAACAGTTTTCAGCTTAATTTCTTTGTACATAGTCGTAAACCTAGCCTAAAAAACGAAAAGCTACGTAATGTTTAGTTTTTAAAAACAGGTATTAAAAGTTTGTATGTTTTTTTATAAGGTGATTCGTCAAACTTAAGTGAGGTGGTCGAACTAGCATGCTATGTATCGCATCGATTAGGTCAAAAATCTCGGCAGATTTCGAATTTTTAGAAAAAAAAAGGACGATAGCTCTTGCGCATGAGCCTAAAGAATCAATCTGAACCCAAAAATTGGCAAAATTCAGAGAACTGAATAAAACAGAATAGTATTAGGAAAAAAGCCTTGCATTCGATACAAAAATCTATGGCTGAATTTAATGCGAGGTTTTTTCCCTAACACTATTCTGCTTTCATTTCTCTGAATTTTGCCAATTTTTGGGTTTATAGATTGATTCTTTCGGCTCATGCGCAGGGGCAGTTGTCCTTTTTTTCTAATAATTCAAATTCTGCCGAGATTTTTTACCTATTCGATGCGATATATATCTCATGCCAGTTCGACCACGTCACTTGAACTTGACGAATTACCTTAAACATAACGCAAAATTAACGCAAGGAGGAAGATCATTGTGAGACGCATTTTTCCTTGTTCTAAAATGTGTCTTGTCCCTATAATTTATTTAATATATTGCATTTCATTGTTTCAGATGAGTTCAAAAAGAGAACCTAAATTCATCAGAGGCAACAAAACTTATTGGAGATGTTATTTCAATGCTGTTTCATGCTTTTAAATATAAATGTCTTCTTTAAGTCAACCTGTTAGTTCTCTATTTATTCTGACATCAACGGCGCACTTAATTTTACGACGCAGGAATACCTAGATAAACTCTAAGCATTTACTTGTACGCCTCAGCCTACTGATTACGAAAGTAGGGAAGATTTCTAATGATAAAAATTAGAACAAACAGTGATAGTACTTGGTCAATGGTAAAAATCTTTTTAAAAACTCACCACTTTCACTTTTAATCTCATTTTGCCGACGCGTTTTGGGACCTCCCTCTAATATGAGTCCCCGCTTCAAGACGTGATGCGTGCGGCAAGACTGCTCCGCGTTTAGTGGCGTGGCGTGCTTTGCGATAGGTACATAGATTGATTTGTCATTTAAACCTATGGAAAAGGATCGATATGTAGGGTGTTCGCAGCGAACACCTTAATAATCGATTCTGTACCATAGCTTCAAATGGGGAAATAAATTTAAATCTTTAATAAAACGACTTTAAATTTTGAACCAAATCTTCTACTATCGAATACGAAAAATCATGTAGAATTTTAGTTTTACGTTGACCAGCTTCTCCAAAGAAAAATAAAATTTCTAAGGAAGTCTGCGACGTCGCAAATGGAGAAACGTCGTCGCTCATTCTGCCCAAAAATATGTATGTATAAAATTGAAGGCATTATGACTGGCCGCTCTCAACTTATATTCGTATGTAACGATAAACAATGGGACGTGTTTGCTACGGCGCCTTGATACAACTATACAACCTCGACGGATGTCCGTATTGCGTTCAAAAAATTGAAGGCGTTTTGACCTCCTACGCATAATACCTGTAGTTGATTCGATCGCCAAACGCGTCGGTCGGCGGTGACGGGGACTTGATGCATTTTTTTAAACTTGATGGATGTCTGTATCGCACCGACTGATGTGCGAAACCACGTTTCTCCATTGCGATGTTGCAAATTTTCCGTTCTTAATTCATCTCTTCCATGAGAAACAATCCAAATTTACGACTTTAAATTTTGAACCAAATCTTCTGCTATCGAATACGAAAAATCATGGAGAATTTATGTTTTATGTTGACCAGCTTCTCGAAAGAAAAATAAAATTTCTAAGGAAGTCTGCAACGTCGCAAATGGAGAAACGTCGTCTCTCATTTTGCCCAAAATATGTATGTATAAAATTGAAGGCATTATGACTGGCCTCTCTCAACTTATATTCGTATGTAACGATAAACAATGGGACGCGTTTGCTACGGCGCCTTGATACAACTATACAACCTCGACAGATGTCCGTATTGCGTTCAAAAAATTGCAGGCGTTTTGACCTCCTACGCATAATACCTGTAGCTGATTCGATCGCCAAACGCGTTGGTCGGCGGTGACGGGGACTTGACGCATTTTTTTAAACTTGATGGATGTCCGTATCGCACCGACTGAAAAGCGAAACCACGTATCTCCATTGCGGTGTTTCAAAATTTCCGTTCTTGATTCATCTCTTCAATATTAAGCTTCAGTATTAATATATCTCAATAAATTAAATTTATAAGAATCTCTTTCATTAAAATCGTAAATGCTCCGTCGAAACGAACACGGCAAATCACATACCCAGTCGCATTTAGCCACGCCGTTCGATGCGCCGCAAGGAGGGGTTGCGAAAAACATGCCCACGCCTTGCAGGACGCCCACGCTTTGAACACGGATTCTCCATGACTGAAGACAAAAAAATTGCGAGACAACGACGGTCGACGGTGCACTACGCTTCCGCAGTAAATCCATCATCCACGGCCAATTCCAGGGAAACGAACGAACCGGGCAGCCGAGTCATCAGACCGAAGAAAAATAGGACGGGAAAAAGGAAAACCCGCGCATCTCCCGACGGGACCAACGTGACAACCGTTTTTCCCGAGGGGGCGAGGGGGGCCGGGCACGTCGGCCGATTCCTATATTTTTCCCGCCGTCGGGGGACCGGGACGGTCGAGCCGGTACCACCCGCGCACGGATCGGCTTGGCGGTTCGCGCTGAATTTTGACGCGAAGAAAAGGCTTACGGCATATGGTGATGATGATGATGATGATGAAGAGGTCCATTTCCATACTAGGTACATGCTTTTCTTGTTAAGCGCTCAGCCGATAGGCAGCGCTTCTTGATTTCGACTTGCCTCTGAGTACTAGTATACTAGTGCTAATGCGTTTAAATGGCGCACCAGCTCATCGATGTGTAGGCTTTTTTTGGGGGGGGGGGTCCATTTTTAAAATAAATAAAACTGTGAAAACTGGATTTTATGCTTTTAACGTACCTAATGCGCAGGAAGTTTCGATCGTTTGTCTATACTAAGAAAATTTCTTAGCGGTAGAGTAATTCTTATCGAAATTGATCGTTGAAGCCCTAAAAAAACGCGCCTGATGAGCTCAACGGTGAGCTTTTTTTCGGGAAACAAAAATACGCGTTTACGGTTTCCTTGGTAACCTTTGTTTGCTATCAGCTGATGTTTTATTTCCATTTCCCAGCCAAGTCGACGGAGTTTATACGTCCTTTCTTTATTAAATACATTTACTAACACCTGAGCGCTTTTCTAATACGACAGTATTAGAACTTTCCCGTTTGTTTTTGTTTAATCTTCTCTTCAAATTATCCTAATTTCAAAGAACATTCAGTAAAATCTCTCTCCCCCCCCCCCCCCCCCCCCNAAGCAATTTAGTGTGGTTTTAAGTAATTTTGGCCCGATAAGATGTCATGTGGGAACTTTTTGGGTACATATGTAGACATTTTGGATAGGAAAACAACATTTTTACTTTTATATCCTTTTTCGGGTGGGGTATTTCAGCAGCCCAGCATAATAATATTTTTTGTTGGATTTCAAAAATATTTGCAGGGGCCTATACATATGAAAAAAATTGAATGCAGTAGAGATAATGAATAAGAAACTCTGAGTTCAATAACATAAATATAAATTTTTAATAACATAAAACACATGATCATGTGTACAAGTAGTTCAATTTAAAAGACAGATATTAGAATGGAAATGTTCAAATACACTTACTTAAATGCGACTGAATGACTAGACTAATAACTCAGCTTTTATTTTAGGCATGTATAATTAGCACGACTGAAAGTGCTCTTTCTGATAAGAAATCAGGTTTGCATTTCCAAATGAAAAACATACTTACTAAATGAACGCTTTAGGAGTAAGGCAGAAGCTGTCAGAATAAAAATTCACTTTCGACAACAAAAAAAAAAAAAAGGAAAGAAAATGATGTACAGGATAATCTAAACATTATTGAGAAACATTTTACCGACCGGGATCTATAAGAAATAAGATGATACAATCACGCAGGAAGTAATACACGCTGGTACCACAATGGACTATACTTCAAAAACAATGATCTTATGATGTAACTTAGCTTCAGAAATTATCTGTAACTGATTTTTCGCACTACCATTTTTTGGTGTCCTATATGGCGCAGTGACCTACGACTCTTTTAATTCTACACAGAGTTCACTTCAAAAAGGTCTAAAATGTGGAGATTCAGGTTTTTCTCTGGCTGACACTTTCAAATCCATGATTAGCATCATGGCTCATGAAAATATTCTTCCAGAACTTATATTTGAAATATAATTGAATATGATTGGACGTATTTCTATCAAACGGAACTATGTGCATTGAGACATGAGCCCTGATACCCCTTAGAATATGTGCATATCTGGGCTCACGTAATGATGCACATAGCTCTGTTTGGCAAAAATATGTCCAATTGAAGCGCTTGGTGCAGAAAGGGCATTTCATGGTTACAGTGTCTCGAAATCTCCACTAACGTTTTATTCATTATAATTAAAGCAAATGTATGTAATTTGTTGTAACTTTTACTGAATATTCTTCATAATTTTACTGTGCTGAAAACGTACAATTTCAGAAAATCCACCCAATCAGTTCCTCTCTAAAATAAAAATTAGCACTGTAGATTCTCAAAGACTGCAACCAATAAAGGCCCTTTTTGCACTCAACGCCTCAATTAGAACGTAAACTTCCTTTCACTAGATGTTGCCAATTTGAAAAAGAGCCGTTTTACCTCTCCTGTCAGATTAATATTACTTTCGAGAAATAATAATGTAAATATTTACTATTTTTTCAGTTGGTCAGCTTAAAAAAGAGATCATAGAAAATTCCTCTGCTTTAAAATTTTAACCAAAAGAGAAATGGTTGAGAGGTCAAACATAACTAATGTCACTAAGAGGCATTCAGAAGTCAGCCTCAAAGAGGCAAAATTTCGTTTTTCAAGTTGAGAAACTGTATTATAAAAAGTTAGTTTCCCTGTCTACTGATACCCACCTTAGAACTACAGCAATAATACAAATGTTTTTTAGGGGATAAATGTTGGGATAGGTTCATCTAACCATTTCAGCCTTTGAAACTAAACTTGGATTTACTCAGGCAGATCTAGCAAATATAATATTTCATGCAAAGCAAACTGACAGAGCTATATGGCATTGGGAGGATAAAGACATCAAATGGCTATAAACTGTATTCCGATACAAATTTTGGCATATTTTAAACTTTTTATTTTTCGAAAACAGTACCTAATGCCTTGCATACTCCAATGGAGTGGAAGATAAGTTGAGCTGATGGAAATAAAATGAAAGAAGAAATGAAGAAGAAATTCGACCTGAAGCTAAGTAAAAGGACGATGCAGAAGACTGGAGAGAGAACTTCAGGTCAGGTAATTTCCTGTTAACCTGTTAACTCAAAAGTAAACTTACGAATAAAATAAAATCACACGGTCTCCTTCTTCCTTAAGAATTTAACTTAAATTCCTGTAACAACTTATCTTTAGAATTCAATTGCTTTGAATTACTTGATTCAAAATCACAAATTTCCTTCGTATATTTAATATACTTTCTAAGTTTATATTATGGTGCTTGAGTGACATTTTTTAAAATACTACATGCCTATTTATTGTATTTTCTAGTCTCATTGGAGGCACTTGGATTAAAAATGAACAATTGCTCACAACAAACACGATAATCTTCAGAGACTAACAGAGATTCTCTCTTAACACAGAGAATTTACAAAAGGTGACATTCTCAACAAAAGTAAAAAATATTTGTTTAAAAAAAAATTCAAATCCAAAAAACTTTGGTCTTTAATTTGAATCGCACTTTACACACTGGAATGGTTGTTTTAAACAATCCATATGATAACCATGAGTGCAATGAAACAAGAGCATTTGCGATTGAAATTTTTTATTACATACAGTACAAATAACAGGATTGGGGATTCCTCTCTTAGCACCATTCAATGACTGTTTGAGCTGGTTGTGCAAATCTAAATAATGAGATCGTTCGGCAATCTGCAATACTTCTTGCTCGTAAACACATTTCTCGAACAGACCCATAATTAAACTACGATAATCGCCTAATGAGCCGGTCGTATGTTTCAACAACAAGTGAAACTCAGCAGCAAGATTCAGGTCAGCACTATTCAAAACCCTTTTCATTAACTTCGGTGAGTTAACTTGTACCAGGCACTGCAGCAAAGGGAGCCATGTATCTTTTGGATCTAAAACTGACGATCCACGGAGAATTAGGGAAATCAATTCCTCCGTAGCTGACTCTACATCTTTACCACTTCTTATGGCATACTGAAGTCTTTTGAAAAGTATATTAAAAGATTTCTTATAACTCCCTGCCTTTTCCCACAGAATAGCTTCTTCCATTTCTAAATTATGCTTCTGTGCTGTTTCAACACATGACTCGATGTCAGTTAGAAGGGTATCACAGTTAGCGATAATAAATTTCATAGCACTATTCGGTTCGAATTCACAGAGTAACTGAAAATACAGTGTTATAACGGGCGGTGATAGAGCCGCTTTGGCATCCATTACACCCTGCAAAAATTCAAATTGCTTTTGTTTAGTCATGGTGTGAACCACCCTTGATGTAAGTTCCACAAAATGAGTTCCAACAAAGAGTCCTGTTTTATAACCATTCACCTCTAGTAATGTATCAATGTTCTCTGATACAGCACGCTGCAGCTTGCTCTTCTCTGGTGCAACATTGAGGTAATCAAAAACGCGGGGTTTCCGACTGTCATCTAGGAGGTGACATTTTAGAACTTGTTCGTGATTACCTTGCCTTTCATAGATTTCGGCACAGACTTGATGACTGAAAAAAAAAAAAAGCAAAAACATTAATGTAGTTAAGCTAGAGCTAATATATTGCTGATCAGTGTTGTACTTCCAATCACTGGCAACCGCACAGCTCAACACTTGGACCGTGTTGAACAGAAAGGAACCAAGCCACATCAGCTATTATCAAATTTAACTGGGCAATTTAATTTTTTACATGAAAACGATTGTGCGGATTCTCGTGCAAATTTCAGTGAAAATTCTTCATGGTACAAAGCTAATTCATTAAAAGTTTCAAAGAAATCCGAACAAACGTTCTTGCGTAAAAAATTTAATTGCCCAGTTAAACTTGGCAATAGCTGTTGCGGCTTGGTTCCTTTCTGTTAAACTCAGCCCACTTTTGAGTTCATTTTATTTTCCTCCAAAAATGAGAATATGAGTAAAGCTAGGAAGGACTTCTCACTGCCAACTCCCTGCTTCCTAATTATGTAATTATTAACATCCAAAATTAAATAACCATGTGGTAAAACAGTGTTAGTAATCAAATTATCTTCCCTCTGCTGTTTGCTGTTGTCTTGCTTAGAAGTGTTGTCAAGTTTACGATTTTCTTTCTCAAACATTCGGTGCGTAAAAATAGAGAATTTGCAGATATCTGAGATTTGATGGATCTCGTGTTAAAGTGGAAACTACTGAATGAACTGAACAAGAAGATACCCTTGGTTCATAAGTTGAGCAATGATTGGAGGAGATATGACAGAATGGTCTAATCTGCTAAAAGACATATGTTTAAATGGGAAATGCTGCCGGATGACATCACTAGGCGGATCATTTTCTCACTTTTAAATCTATTTTTATACTATTTACCAGGAAAAAATATAAAAAATACTGTGAAATCAGCTTTTTAAGCACTTTTAGATGAGGCAATAAACAATTTGCGTACAAATCCTACATTATTTGTGAAACAGCTTGTAGATCCTTAGCTTTGTGACACAACGAAAGAGTCCATAGGTTCCAAATGTGACCAGGCAGAGGTGCATGTTTAACGTGAGCCTAAGGACAGGCAGGCAATTTGAAGGTACATATTTCATTGATTTTATGTTAGAAACATATGGGACTTTTTAAAAACTTCACTTTCAAGGGGATGATTTTACTGGTGTGTATACACCATTCAGTAAAAAAACAAGAACAATGATAATAAAAATAAAATAAAGACGTACTATCCAGCAGTTTGTGCAAGTTGCAGTATCCGCTCCTCCGGTATATGTTTCAAAGCACCAGTGCTAATGAGTTGAAGCAGGATTTGCTCTTTTTCCTCTGGAGTGCACTGTTCATCATTGGATGAGACTAATATTTCAAGAACTTGTTCAAACAGGTTCAAATCTAGCCGCAGACTACAATTGGGCCGCATGATTTCTTTAGCCAGCCAACTGAATAACCACCCAACCTGCCGAGACTGAAGATTTAAAACCAAAGTAGTTACGAGTCCTGAATCTCAGCCATGAAAAAACTTGTTTTAAGTTTTAAAAAAAGTTACTAAGTTTATCTTCCTACCAAGGTTATGAAAAGTAGGATTTTAATAGGGGCAGATTGTGATAGAATTATTATACATACATATGAGTTGCTTTTACAGCGCTCTACGACGCCCAATCGCCACAAAGCTCGGTCTTCCCACAGGCCATCAGGGAGCTGACACTCCCTCATCTCACTCAACACCCCCTGTCGCCAACCTCTCACCGGGCGTCCCCTACGTCTCCTCCCTGGAGGAACCCAATCAAGCATCTTTTTTGGCAGCCTCTCTTCAGTCATCCTATTGACATGACCATACCAAACAAGTTGTTTGGTCATGACGTCGAACACGATGTCATTTTCGACTTCCATTATCTGACGCACTCTATCATTACGGACCCGATCTCTCCTAGAAATTCCTGCCGACCTTCTCCAGAAATCCATCTCCGTTGCTCTTAGCATATCCTGTGTCCGTTTCTTCAGCTGCCAAACTTCACATCCGTATGTTAATATACTTTTGACATTAAATATTTGGATGGGAAAATAATTGACAAAAGTTAACAAAAACAAAAATTTTGCAGGTATTAACTACAACTAATGGCCATTTGGACATATTTCTATCAAACATACCTATGTGGCGGTGAGAAATATGGGGTGTGCTCGTTAGTTCTCTGGCCGTAAGAGTGAATGAAAATAATGAAGCGCCAGTGGCGTCAGCGGCAATGATGAAGCCTGGGCGAGAGGGGGCGCCGGGGGGGGGGGGGATCATCGTCGGGGCGCTTTAACTCATGAGCCCTGTCCACAACGCTCTCGTGCCATGCCTGTGGCTCATGAACCCCGCATTCAGTAGGCACATAGGTCTGTTTGGTAGAATGTAAAATCCCGCTTTTCCAATTCTTCAAAAGGAATCACGCCCTCTTTCACATTGCTTCTTATGCAGCTTTCTAGAGCACACCCCATATTTCTCACCTCCACATAGGTCTGTTTGGTAGAAATATGTCCATTTAATCCTTGAAGCTTAAGACTATGATGAAATGAAATAATTTGTGTTTAATTTCCAAAAACTGCTACTTAAAGAAGTTTTGTAAAAAATTAAGTAGAAGTTCAGAGAAATGAATTCATGATGAGTAATCAATGAATTTCTCAATTTTGAATTCTGAGTTTCTGCTTCATGAGCATTTCTGAAGACACATGCGAAAATCAAGCTGATACAACTACGTACCTTGGAGCTATTTTCATGGAGAGTAATAGAAATTAGAATGTCGACTAAACGCTGAAGTAGTTGAACGGAGAGATAAGAGTCTTGAAATGCCATTGACAGAGCATTCAAAAACTCTTTAGTGTTGAAATCTAGGAACAGTCGCAAGTACGGATAAGTTTCTTCTGACTCATCTGCATTTATTGTATGTTGACTACACAGGAACTGAAAAACACGAGATCGGACCGTCGCACATTTTGACTCTTCAATGTCACCATTTGGATAGCCCCTGCCTGAGAGACAGCAACTTATGTACACTAAACATTTATTTCCTAACCGGATTGCTTCCTCACTCCGATCACCATCTGCGAAGTTATGAAAAGAAATTTTAAGTATACAAGATGCGCACACAAATTACACATAATATGCAGACGTATAATACACGCTAAGATTTTAAAAAAATCAGAGGATTCGGCTAATGAAGTCATGTTATAGGATGAGGATATGGACGGAGGTCCTCCTGCGTCTGATGACAATTTTGAAGAACCTTGACACATGTGTACAAATTGGAAGAAGCATGTCCAAACAACCCATTTTTGATGAGGTCTCAATAAGTGGGACTGTCCACTGGAAAAAGGTCCTTAGTCCAAAGAAAACTCAAAATTGAGTATTTGAAACCACTGCATTGAGGGGTCTGCTATACTTCCATCCGAAGGAAGAACGCCGTATGAACCTTTACGCATTGTCATATTTCCTTCAACATAAAACAAATTTATTGGGGAAAATTGTGTATATTATTCTTCAAATTTTTCAGACAATTTCGTTCAAAATATCTGAGAATTTCAAAGAAAAATATGCATATTTTTACTTAAAAATACATATTTTATCCGGGGAAATTTGGCAACTCTCGAATGTTTACACAGCATTTTTCCTTAGCACTGCAGTATAAAAATTCTTTGATTTAAAAAAAGAAATAACACGAGTTATGGTGGTTTAAGGTTTGCAACTCAAAAAACATAATTCGAGGGATAGCTGGATAAAATTCTGATCTGCCATGTTCGGGGTACAAAATAATCAGATTTAAATGCAACTTTACATCGTGTATTGGCACGGAAATGAAGGAAACCTCTTGCCATGGATGGTCACAGACGATTTTAGCATTAGTATTCATATATATCAACCGTTTTGCTCCAAAGAATTTTTGCTTTTGAAAACGTAAATTAAAAAATGAAAAAAATAAAAATTGTTTCCAAATTTCTGCTTTATGGGAAACCATAATAAACATATAACTCAATTACCAGAGCTTAGCATTCTTTGCAATTGGGGTAACAATTCTTGTAGCGGTGTCGTGTAATCATTCATGGCTTGATTCCAGACTGAAATAAGAGCGTCATAAAGCTGGTGACTGCGACATTGTTGTAAAACCTGTTCGATGTCCAGAGATGAGACATTGACATTTACTATGCATTCTTCCATGGCCTTGAACAAAAAAAAAAAGTTCTGATTGACGACTTCAACTGGGAGACTTAGCTTTACAGATTTCATCTTCCAGAACTAACATTTTCTGCATGTAACAATAATAAATTCGTTCACTTCTATAACTTTTAATGACCAATCTGTTGATATATATACTTGCTCTTTTTGAGAAAGACACCATACCATTGATATGGTGAAATATACTGGTGTGTCTTTGTTGACAAGAAAATTATTAACCTTGCTGCTTGATCATTAGCCCGCCTGTTTCTATTAAAAACCTATTTCAAACCAGCTTAATCTTACATCCAAAAGTAAACAATGAAATGCAACAGCCAATCGTCTAAATACTAACCTTCCAGTTCATGAATTTTCTGCCACGGATTCTTAATGTTTAATGCGGAGGGGCTGCACTAGATCGGAATTCCTTGGGGGAAAAAACTTCGGGTGAGACACAGAATGGATGTCAATTTCCTTTTGCTTATACATAATGCATTAACACTGAGCTTGATATAGTACCCATTCAATGGAGCATGTTTTAACTTAGTTGTTCACTATGTTGTTCACTTAGGGTCTAATAGCGCTAAGGAAAAAAATTCTAAAAGTTGTTTGAACCAACCCTATAAAATTCTCCCAGAGGATTCACTTTCAAACCGTAATAATTAATCAACATAAACATCAACCATTACTAAATCATCAAAGATCCCATTGGACGAAATTGAGCTGAAAGGCACCAGTTTGGATTCTTGAAATTTTGGCCACAGTTGGTTGCTTATTTACGCTATTAAACCGTGAATTTTCAACAGTGACTCGATGATAAAGAAAGCCATATGGCGAAATTGAGCCGAAAGGTATCAGTTCTTTACATTTTGGTCACAGTTGATTGCTAGGTGCTACCAAACCATGGCTAAATGATCGGAAATTCCATTTGGAAAAATTGGGCCAAAATGCACCGATATCAATACTTCACATGTTACTTGGTTCCTCTAAAATTCTCCTCGTGGACTTAGCCTGAAAAAGTGAACATTTTTTAGCCTCCCGCAAAATCTAGAGTCTATACGGCTTCGCCGCACAACTAAAAAGAAATAAATACATACACACCTGCCATCTATGTGTCATTTCTAGGTATTCAACTAACTTTTGCATTATTGCAGGAGAGACATTTCGAATTTTACCATCTTGGATGAATCCTTCAATGCTTTGAAGAAAGATATTTCTAGGTACTGTGCTATGTTCCACCCCATTCCAAACTTGTTGAAAAAGCAGATCCCTGAAAAGATAAAGGCAATAAAATCACATCCTTTACCATTGAGAATGAAATGTAAAGACATGAGAAACAAAAGAGTTAGGCATTAAAATAACTTGAATTTAAATATTAAACATTTCCTTTGTTGCAAGTAGTCCAAATGGAATGCATTTAATGAAAGGGAACCGACTAAAATACTAAGTTTTTAAAATTATGCAATTTCTTTACAGAAATAAAATTTACATGATCATTTACCTTTAAACATAACAATGTTCTGATAGAAAAACAAGACTTATTTGCTGTTCTAATCATTTATTTTTGAAAAATATGAGGATGCATGATTTGCGTTATTGAGTTGGTTCTTCTTTGTTAAAAGCAATCCAAATGGTTAACCCTGTTCTTGCAGGCTAGTTACTCCTTTAATTTAGACCTGCGGGTAGATTGTTGAATCATTATCTAATGATATGGGTCGATACATCCCTATCTTAGCAGTGTTAATTATCAATTAGGGTAATTCGTCAAAAATTCAACACTCCAAACGCTGGGGTCAGCATTACCTGAGGCTATCAAACTTGAGTCACCACGACTAGCAGGCAGTTTATAAAAATTTGGCTGCATTACAAGGGACTGATTGCATTTCTCAATTTATTTGTCATGCTTTTAATGAGTCAATGGCACGACAAAAGAGTTTGATTGATACAATCAACGGTTCATAAAATCAACACTATAGATGGATCATAAACTGATCATTGCATGGGTCAGGGATTTGTGATTTGAGTTCTCTGTCTTTACAAGGAACATAAATGTGGGACACGGGCAGAATCTACACTGGTAATGAGAGGATTAGAGAGGTAGTTACATGCGATTTTTTGTCCAATCACCTATGTTCCGTTCACCTATTCTTGAAGACTGTTGGTGAGTTGAGACATTGGGTGTGAGAATGACGATTCTCGATTGCGCCACTATTTTAGGTCCTAATGAATCTAATTGGTAATTTTTGAGAATTTTTTAATGAATTTTTGGACAAATTTGGAGAAGTGGTGAAATCATGAAGAATATTTGGATCGCATTCAAAGGAACCAGCGCGAATACAGTGTTGTAAAAATGTTGCTTCTTCTTAATTATCTAAAAAATCTCCCAGAATAGCAAATAGTTTTGGCTTCCCACCAAAGGCTTGTTAATTTTAAAGGAAAATAAGTGTGTAAATTTTAATACTGTGCATATATTAGGTATTTTTAAAAGAAAAGGAGAAGTTGCATGATTTTGAAAACACCATAATTGCACTGGTTTCTCCATGCTAAGTGCGATCCATTTAGTATCAATTTCAATGAAACGTATGCACTCACTATCCTCACAATGAACAAAATATTAGTGGAGGTACTGAAACACCATAACCGAGAGGTGCCTTTCTTGAACCTGGCCTCAATTGCCTAGAAATAGTTATAAAATATTCCTTTTAGCAAGGAGCGACTTACTCGCATTGAAGATGGATGCAATGTTCAATTATCACAGGAAGATTTTCTTGGTACATTAATGCATTATTGTCATGTAATACTGCATTGATATAGGTTGTTAACATTTCATGAACCTGAAAAAATGTTGAAAAAGACAAATGATTTATGCTCAAAGTGAAATACATCTGGAAAAATATATAATAAAAGTATGGACGATTAAACTAGGATTAAGAGGCTACTTTAAAAATTCAAACTAGAAAATTCGGTGCTAAAATCTTAGTACAAAATAAACATTTCCAGATTAGTCGGACAATTGATGGTTGGCTGCATTGCCATATGATCTGACAAGAGAAATATACCTAACACGTCCATTCAAAAATTATGATGAAAAGATGTTGTACCTTCTGCCAGATAAGTTTTTTTCGTTGTTTGCGATGACCACTTAGACCAAGGACTCCTTTCCCTCTTTCTTCTAAAAAGTCGATTCCTAATCGAAGGGCTGCTGCATACCGATTCTGCAAAAGACAGACAATTACAATTTCTTATGAATAGACTTTAGAGGGAAACAGCTTTATGACTGAGATTGAATAACATATTACATATTACAGTCTCTATAAAATGTTGGAAGTTTTCAATTAAAAAAATGATTGAATTTGGCGAAAATTTAAGTAAGTACGGTAGAAACTGCATATAACGACACAAGTTCATGAAAGAAAACCTCTTATAACGTTATTTTTGCACAGTCCCATTACTTTGCCCGAAAGAACAATATAAAAAATTCCTGCATACATCAAAAACGCTTATTTCGGAAAACCGCTTACGACAACAAAAATTTTGGTCCCAAAACCGCTTGTAACGTAACATTCAGACGATCCCGATGCATTCCGTTATAAATGTGGTTTCTACTGAAAAACTAGCATGAATAATATCCGTGCTGAGTAGAACGTACCTCCATTTTGTAAAAAGACTTAGGGAGGTGTAACAGTTCTTTCAGTTAAAAAGAAGGAAAAAATTATGATAGGGCACACGCACACAAAAGAGGGATACATTCTGTTATTTCAACAGAAGAGAAAGAAAATAAAGAAGAGATAATATTTGACATACCTGCTCTAACAAATTATTTAAACGTTCCAGCCAGCTACGAGTGCTTATGACATGAAATGAGCGCATGCCTAGGAACAAAACCTGATTGCCAAAACTTTTAATTGTATTGTAACATGCCCTTTCGCCTGCAAGAGCCTGCAATATAAAATTTAATTTGCCAGCTCAATAGGAGAGAAAAATTGAATTAGAATTACACTTCAACAGTGTACAAAAGTCAACATATTGAAACCTGGGAAAGACTGTCTTACGTATAAGTTCACGGATAACTTTTGTTTGGAATGATGAAAGTGTCATTAGAATCCTTACATGTATGTTGTGATTAAAATAACATTCACAAGGATCATGAAATATAAGTTTATACTTAAATTTCAAAATATATTAATACAAGTAAATAGCTACTTTTTTCTGGAAAAATAAGGGACTTTGCTGTGAACTTGGCAGAAAGATCTGCCAATTTCTGAGATGTGTCAACAGGTGTTCTTTAGATATTAACTTTTGGTGATATGACTTGATTTTTTCGTCACCAAGCATTAAGATTGAGTTGCCAAATTAACTTCTGAAAAGAAATGTAAGAATTCAAAAGATGGAAGTTTTATTTACTTAGAAATTTTTGGAGCGAAGTAGTATAAAAATTAAAAATGGCAGAAAAGCTAGTCTTGCGAACATACCATGGCTTTGCTGACGTTGCCCCCCGTGCAAAGACCTTTGAAATGACTAGAGTTATAAACTAGACTGACACAAGATAGATCTAAGGTTTCTAGCTCTTCTTGACTGCGAATGTCTATGAGATGAAAACGCTCTTGTGTATCAACAGTTGCTAATATCCGTGCATTCAACCAATGGCATGCTAGGAGAGAATATCCTAAGTTGAGCTGTTCTAGGACTGTGCAATGAATTCGACCACTTGCCAGGACATTGATCTGAAAAAGGAAACAGTAAAACTCATTAAAGACTATGGCGAAAAGAACTGTTCATATGAGCTTTATCGTTTTACCACGAAGATTACATTTGAGCAACAATTCTACAGAGAGAGTGCGGAAAGATGAGGTGGATTTCTTCACCATATTTTTATGGCACGTTGAAAAGTGAAGTACATTTTAAGAACTCAAGATTGATTAACGTAAATGATCAAGCAATGAGTTTGATATGAATAGCACTCCCAAGCATAGAGAATTTTTTCAAGATTTTAAAATGCCTCAAGTCATCTCGCTTGTAGAAGACTTGTCGACATTCTATCATAGACATCAGTGCTTGTTTCTGTAAAACAGCAATTCAAGGGGGCAAAAAACTCATTCCAAGAAAATTTTTCCCCTTAAAGATACTCTGCTTCAAGCAACACTAGTTACAACCATCAGGAGGACGACTGCACATGCGTTTTGTGTCGGTGGCTTCAGCATAGTGTCAATAGCTTCGTTGATAATCTGAAAGATGATTTATGTTCACACTCACTTTCATCCGTTGAACCCAGTAAAAGACCTGAGTCCATTATGATGTCTGGTTACTGGGTAGAATTTCAATGTAGCAACTCTGCTAACTTTGAAAACATTGAGGCAGTTTGATAGTAGAATTACAAAAACAAAGAATTCAATTACTATGATTCAGAATTTCTATTCCCTTTATTTCCTTCAAAATAGGTTACCATTTTTTTCATGAGACTTCCAGCGAATATGCTTAGGTGGACACATGTATCACACAAAATTCTGTCTAATAATGATGATTGGTAATTATGTTGAAGAGGATTACTTTTCAAACAAGCAATTTTTTGTTACAGCTAAAAAGCCGCAAGATTATTTAAAAAACTCAAGTTCCTTTATCCTACTTTTCAATCATTATTATATTGGCAATTTATCATTCTAACTAAAATTAAATTGAACACACAAGAACGTTTTAATCAAGTATTGACTGCAAGTAAAGAAACATTATTACAAAGAAGTTGTACTGAGTGTAATGGTGAGAAAAAATTAAAAGGAATAATTACATGATAAAAATGAATGGTTGAATCTCGAGCAAAAGCCAGAACAGGGTCGATGACATGAGAGGAATCATTGAGTTGAATAACTACAAACTGCCATGTTAAAAGCGGGAGATTCGCTGGACTTGCGCTGACAGAGTGAGTAAGAAGGAGCCTTGTATTTGGGCGAATGCATACTAAAATAACCTGCAAAAACATTAAATATAATGAGGATTTTGTTTTGTTCGTAAAAAGAGTAAAGACTATATTTATTTTTCATTGTCAAACTAAACTGGTCATAATGTAAATAAGATACAAATAACTCCGTTGTTAGTAAATTCCTTTTAATTTAACTTTACAACACGTACAATGTGTGTATTTCTTATTTTGTAGAGGGTCACGATATATTAATAGAGAGGAAAAAAAGCTTAACTAGGATAACTAAGTAAAGTGGACAACTTTAAGGAACAAAAATGAAAAACAACTAAACTGGACTACATACTTGATCTGTAGAATAGTTAGTAAAGATATTAAAAAATTTGAGAATTTTCAAGATTTTGAGGTCTAACAAGCTCGGCATTAGCTTGATTGAGCCATTTTTGAGGCAAGGACGGCTCCAGTCCTGGAACTTTTTGAAAACACCTCATACAGTTCTAGAAGATTCAAATGTTTCTTTCCTTTCTTTTCAATCCTTTAGATTAACTGACTACTAGACAAGGTGGGAATTTAAGCATTGAGTTTTGTGTTTTCTCTTCAAAATTTGGCATACAAAAAAATTTGTACAACAAAAATTACTGAGAGTAACTCCTACCCAAGATATTAATGTTTTTTAATGGATGAATTCAACCTTCCTGCTCATAAAAAACAACAATCTACTTGAGTTAAACTGCACACTAAACGTTACCATGGCAGTTGCGCAAATCGTGTTTAAGGTGAAATTTTGAAGAGGAAACATACACCAGAGTGCTTTAATTTGTACTTTGTCTAGTGGTCCTTTGGCAGACAAAATTCTCAACAGAGGAGACAATAAACTGGGAGAAAAATATGTACCTTAGATAGAGTTGCCATGGCAACTAGGATAGAACCATGAAGAGGATGCGTGGTGAGAGCTTTCAAGCGTAGAGGTTCGATGCAGCACACCTCGCCACGACTCCCAGAAAATATGCATCTCGAATCAACGCTGCGGATGCCAAGAGTGCGCTTGAAACTCAATTCAAAAACAGAGCCTCCACTGTCACTGCACACAGCTAGATTTGGATTATCTGTGAACTGATTTCAGAACAAATAAGAACAAATTTGGGGAGAGCAGTTAGAAAAAAATGATCAAACAAGAAAACAATAGCAGTGTCCTCTGTGAAAGTCCCCAGATCAGTATCTGGAATATTGTATGTGAAAAGCAGGTATAGGATTGGTCCCAAAACGCTGCCCTAAGGGACGCCCACAAGGATAGCCCTTGAGAGCAGAGTGCGAACCTTCATAGCAAACCAAAATTTTTTTTTTCAAAATTAGCAATTTATGAGAGGGAAATTTTCACTCAATGACTGCTGAAACATATGACGTCAGATTAAATTCCTGTGAGATGACCCTTAAAAAATGCCAAAATAAAAATACGCTTCACCATAAACAGTATTTCAAAAGCCACTTTTCTTCAGAGGTTTTGACTGGGGCCCAAAGAAAGTAGATTTTCTTTTCGAAACCTCTTTTTTCAAGATAAAATGTCTATAAATCTGTAAACAATACTTATCTTTCATACCTTGACATGAAGAACAGCTGTTGCAGGAGTGTGAACTTGATTCATTGTGCGTAAAACTTTCCCGTCCGCAACATCACACATAAGAATCAAGCCTCGTGCATAGCCAATCAACAGTCTGGAGCAGTTGTGATTAAAGTCAAGAGCAGATACAGATCCTTGTTCCTCATTGCCTTCGTGACACCAGCGTAGAGTTTGTGCCGAGTCAAAAACAAGAACTAAACCATGCGATGTACCAACAGCTATCATGGAGGAGACAGCCATGACAGTTGGCCGTCCTGCGTTTACTCTCTCCTAGAAATAAATGATTCAGAATGGGTCAGTTTAGCTTAGAGGAAGGTAGACATTTAGATACATGATTCCTCGCCTGCTATTGGGCACTCTAAAATAAATAATTGATGTCTCATATTTAATGTAGGATTGGTTACTCTTTTGATTTACTTTATTCAATTTTATATGATAGCCTTAAATGCTTCATCAATTCCATTCCAGAAAACTAATCAGTTTTCGAGTTACATAAAAAAAATCTAGAAGCATTTTTTGCTTTTCTGCTCTCTAAAGAGAATTAAACCTTTCCAACAGTTTATCCCAGAAATAAATTATGGGTATAGAAAATACAATACTTACACATGCTGACTTGAGTTGTGACGATATGGCTTTCAGGATGATATGTCTCAGAATATGGTCATAGTGCCTACTCTCTGTGAAATTGAAGAGTCCAGTCTTTGATGGTGTGTCTTTAAGGCTTCCAAAGCTACTTATGGAGGCAGTATCACTTCCACATCCTCCAGTTCCAAATCCTTGGTTCTAATTTCAATGAGATGAGAGAGAGAGAAAAAATTACTTTAGGGACGAAAACAAAATTAAGTGTATAAATGATTTATTATTCAAATTTGCACAACAAACATCTACTACCAAATACCTTGACCAGAAATAGAGAACAAGGAATTTTTAGACAACTGGGGTTAACAGTAGGAAGTACCGAGGTCTGGTTTTTTTAGGAAGAAATACAATGTGAACATGAAATGTGCTTATTAATACTTACTTTTTTAATTTACTGTCAACCCAATTGATTTGTTTGTGGGGGCTTGAAAATCAAAGCATTTTAAAAAAAATCATGCCATGGATAATTTGAGAATCTATTCATGATAAGTAATACTTGGCTAGGTATACTTAATTAAAAATTAAAGCATCCTTTGCACCTGTCGCACTATCGCCGCTGAAGAGAGAGGGCAGCGGACCCTCCGAAAAGTCATCCGGACAAATAATTAAGTAAGGAAAGTTTGAGTTTTTAAATTTTTAGCGATTTTATTCTTTATTTAAGTGTACTTTCCTCGTTTTTTGGCCTTATTTTCAGTATCATTTTAACTGGATAATTGATTGAGATAAAAACATTTCACTGTGGGTAACACAACATTAATACAATAGAGACCAATGAAAGAGGTAAATGATGTGTCTGATTTTTTAATGCTACTTACTAAGCCATTAGATAGGGAAAGAATTAAACATCCTCAAGACATGATCCCTTATCAAAATTTCACACTGAACACATAGAAAAAATTAAAAACTTCCAAAATTCACTCAGTGGTAAAAAATTAACAAACAGTTCCATTGGTTCCAACTTCTTGTACAAATACCAAAATGAAAATGAAACGTTAAAGTAACCTTCCAAAAAAATTATTCCACCGAAAAATGTGTTAAATACAGAGATTAGTTTAGTCCTTGATTTTACTTGGTTTTTTTTTTTTTTTTTTTTTGGGGGGNGGCAGGAATTATGAAGTATCTAATATGCTTGAAAAATTCAATTTTTTCATTTTTTATTGTGAGTTAAAGTTGGACATTCTTAATGTTTTCACCAAGCTCTACTTGAAATTTTAATGAAATATCTTGTCTTGTGGTCTCCAATTTTGTCCCCTGTTCAGTGGCCCATTAGGTAGCATTCTCAGGTACTTAGAGGGACACCAATACGGTTCTGAGATTTAACTTACTTCTGCTGCCAAGTAGTCAGACAGTTCATCTTCGCTCATTAAGGAATTTTGGTCATTGTTTAGGATACTTTCCAGAGTCGGAGTCTCTTCAACTGCGGGTATATTATACTCCTCATCATCGATCTGTAAATTGATAAAATGGATTAAACTACAACTGGATATCTTATCATATACCACATTCATATTAAGAACGATGATGATTAGGTATAGGTACGTACGTCTTCTTTCTTCCTATTATTTATTCGAGAGTTGTTTTCAAGTTAGCAATGAGCATAACTAAATAAAAAACCACTCTAAATAGGATAAAGAAGGAAATTTACCACTGATTGATTCAAGTATGTTAACTTAGACAGGAGAAAACTGACAGTGAGGTCGGAGAAATTTTGAATGGCTGGGTAAGTTTAAAATGGAATAATCCTTACACATCAGTGAAGGGCAACTTACTCATCATCTCATGGGGAAATAAAACAGACACAGAGCGCACAACTTAATTAATACAAGGCTGATCAAAGAATTGCATGTTACAAAAGATCAAGAAAACAGGTCTATGATAGTAGAAATGCCCAAAGAACAACCCCCTTCTTGTTAATAATCAAAATCCATTCATATCCCCATGGCCCAATTATTGAAACCATGTCAGCACGACAAGAAAAAAAAGGCCCTATTTTGACCATGCAATAAATCGCATCTCTATGTTTTATTGGGCTGCTTTAAACTTTCAATAATCGGCCCGCTGCTGTTAATGAACAGAAATAACAAGATGCTTGAACATTTCAAGTGACATGTGCAACAAGATAAATCATTTTGTTGCATCTTGCTACCACTATGAGATTACGAATAAAATAATCAGAAATAATCATAATCATAATCATAATAATGAGAGTGAAATTTGTGCTTGGCGCCATTATAAGCAAAGAGTAGAGGAAAGGAGAGAGCAACAGAGCATAATTATGGAGTCCGAGCGAGCTTCATGCACGCTCCACCAGCTACTCCCGCACCCGCTCCGAAGAAGAAGATACGGAGGCCCTGCTCGCCTGCTCATCGTAGGGGGTCTTTGCCTGCAAAAACGCTCAATCGTCTGTCTGGTTCAGTGAGAAAATTAAGTATGGGGGCTGATTAGCATGACTAATTGTGAAAAGGGAATAGAAAAGAGTTGGTTGCATGAGCTTCTTGCTTGTGCCGAGAGAGTAAATACGGATTTTCATTAGATACTAGAAAGCAACTGACCAAACAAGAAACTGGACATTACTTACAAGGAACAAGAAATCAAAAAAATTTGAAAAAATGAAAGACAAATACAGACATACCTCTGAGAAGTCTAGGTTCAATGGATCAAATTTACTTGTCGAATCCCCTGATTCACTCATGGCTTATCCAAGTTCAACTGATTTCCATAGGACCAAAGAAAGATTTTCTAAAACTAATTAAACCAGACATGCAAGAGGCAATCAGCACAGTCACAAGATAAATGCAGTTTTGTAGAAACGAAGCGATATGGTAAGAATTGTAAGAATTCCAATTGTTGAAAACCTTACAACTGATAATGCGTGTTGTTGTTGATTATCAATATAGACACACTGGCCATACAGAGGTAACGAAGAAGGTAGTGGTCGGGTACTACGAGATATCTTGAAATTTGTCGCACAACGGTATCAACCAATGAAAATAAGATTGGAGCACGGCGTAGATACTGCTTCACGCTTTACGTGGTCCTACATGGTTACGACTCTTATGTACTCTATGGAAATTTCATTTGAGGTTCTCTCGTTTGTTTACATTGCGTTTCGCCGCATTTCCTTTTCGCTAGTTCAGTAATAGTAGCGTTATTTTCTCACATTATTCCAATTTGAAACAAACTTAGCTGTAAGCACATCGTGTAAGTTGCTACCGCGACCGCGGTTAATTTCTCTTTTCCTGCAATTTTTTTCTTTCGCGGAACTGTTGATCGGATTGTTATTTACAGCTTGTGAGGTATGGCCAAAGACAATGTTATGGCCAAAGACAGTGGTTTGGCCAAGGAAACTTGTGATCAAGTCTTCGAGAAGATCTCCAAAAACGACATCGAGGGGCTAAGAACTTTGCTTGCAGATCTGAGAGATAAACCTGATTTCCATGACGAGCATGGTATGAGCCCTCTTCAACATGCCGCTTACAAGGGAAACAAGCAAATTTGCCAAATGCTCATTGATCAGGTAAACAGCACTCGGAGGTTACAACTTTAAAATACCTTATACACTTTGCGATAACTTACCAATTTATTCTCAATTGGAGATTAAGTGTTGAAACATCAACTATTTGTCGATTGACTCTCCGATGAAACTTCTACTTATTGGACTGCTCCGATGTTCAATGGAGGCTCATGAGCCTGATCATACTCCATGGTAGTTAGTACTAAAAACTGATCAATTTTATTATCTCTCTTTTTGTTTAGCTACACCTGCCGAATGAGCAAATGCTCATGGTAGCTATTGTAGTGCTTAAATTTTTATTGTTATATTTTGTTACCTCTGAAAAATAAATTATCTATCTATCAGTAACACTCATTAACATTTCATCTTTTTTAAAATCTATTTTTTCTTTCAATTGGCTGTCGGCAACTCTAGAGTTATAAGCCTCTTTGGAAAATTTAAGTAAAGTACTGCAGGAGAATGATCTGTTATGTCTGCTTTTATAACTTCAGGGTTACAGAAAATTCCTTGAAATTTTAATCCTGCATGGTATCGATGGCCAAAGCGAGAACCATGCATCTCTATTGTGGTGTTCCAAATGTCCACGCCTATTTTATTTTATCAAAGAGAAACAGGTCAACTTTGTAGCTTGAACTTTATACAGAATTCTTTTATCAGAGAAGAGAATTCAAGGAAGTTTTCAGATCTTAGTTGACTACTTCTCTGGAGACCAAAGAAAGTATGACAGGAAGCCTGTAACGTTGTAAAAGGAGATACATTGTTTCGTAGTTTGGCCATGAATGTATAGTGTTTAATCATTGTGTCAATCTTTGACCCAAGTGCTTTTTTGAAACTTGTAATACTAAACTGAATTTTCTCAGGGGGCAGATGTGAATGCTGGCAAATATGAGCAAGGGTACACTGCCCTCCATTTCGCTGCTCTCTCTGGAAATAGTGAACTTTGTGCCATCCTGTTGGCAGCAGGTGCCAAAAGTCATGCTACCAATTCAATTGGTCGAACTGCATCTCAAATGGCTGCTTTTGTAGGTAGGCAAAGTCCTTAAATGCATGCATTGTATAATCTGATTGAACTAGGATTGGAGGGAGATCATTTATTTTTTCCTGCCACTTACTTGAAGAGGTTGTGTGATGGCAGGAAATGGATGCGCAATTATTGAATTGCACAAACTCGATTGCAGAGCCGCAGAAAATGCCCGATCACATGCCGAGGCAGGTGTCAGGAAAAGTGGAAGCTTGGAAGATTCTGCACCCCTGCTTGGTCTATGGATGTTTGTGTTTGTGAATTGTCAGTGATAACCCCACCGGTATATGATTTTCTCGGGTGCAGAAAGTTCCAATGCAACCAGACGCAGTAATGCTTCCTCACATGATGTATCCTTCAGTTTCCTTTGGATTTCTACAGGAATTATTCTATTCCCCCAACATTTCCACCGAAAATCCCTAACTTCACGAAAATTTCATCAAATTAGCCACCGCATATTCTAGTTTGCCCGAGCATTTTAAATCTCGAGTTTAAGATTGTTTTTTTACACTCTTGAATGATTTATCTCAGCTGAATTCCCATTCTTCAGTCCCTACTACATTCAGTTTTCCTGAAGTAATGAAACATGAGATCAAATTCTCCAAGAACTCACAGTAGGTACCTAAGTGAATCATAATACCGAATCAAAGTAACCAGGGTTGACAAACAGTAGCACAACAGAGGATATAACATTGAAGATTCGTATTCATGAACTAGGTCTAGACTCATAATAGCTTCTCACAACAGGAAGCTCATGGTGCATACCAAGAAAAAAATTACTATAAATGTGGGGTGCAAGAAAACCATACGTTGAATGGCTGAATTCATAGTATGTCAGTGCACAACTTTCTAGTATAAGTGGTTGTCAATTATTATGCCAGTTCAGAATTATGAAACCAACTCAATCTCTGTTGGTTATGCCGACTTCAATAATTGGTAGTCAATTTTCAAAAGGAATTGAGTATGTTCATACAAAGTAGATTTAAATTTTTTTGCTGTTAGCCTTTTTTACTTATTTTTTTCATTAACTTCTTTCTGCAGGAAACCATGACTGTGTGGCTGTGATTAACAATTTTATGCCAAAATCTGAAGTTGAATATCTAACGGTCCCTCATGGTTTAGAAACAGAGCCCCAACTACCTCCTCTACTGGCAACACCTCTTCATAATTTGATCATGCAAGTAAGTAAGGAGGATGAATTGACCTGAAGACAGAGGTCAAAATACATGTCTAATTATAGCTAGAGTCCCTTTACTGAGACAGTTAGGCCATGTGAAATACATTTCTGATTGGCTCATGTTTTAGGCTTCACAGATGTCACAACCCAGCCAAAAATTCACATTTTTAGCAGTTGCAAAAATAATAACATTGCAATTGAAATTTGTACGCGTGTAGACATCGATTGGTGCTACCTTGAATGAATCCTGTAGTCAGGTGTGACATCAAATTCCGTCACCATTACATCAATGGCTTAAGCACCTGTCCCATGCATAAACTAAGAGCAAAAACTTACAGAAGATAAACATTTTTTGCCCTCAGCCATGGTAATTAATGCAACATGTAGTGAAAATTCAATGGAGCCAGAAAACATGTTCCTGGAATGTTCTGTAAGTTGCAAAATCAAAACTCGTAAAGATGCACATTGATTACAATATTTGAACTGCTCATTTTCAGAAACCTCCAAGTGCCAAAAAATTAACAATGAAGTTGACATCAGATCACTGGGCTCTTTCAAAATTATCAGTTCTGTCATCAGTTGCCAGATAATCTGTATCAGGCTTTTGTGCCTGGTGCTACCCTGAATGAATCCCATAGTCAGATGCGGCATCAAAGTCTGTCACCATAACATTGATGGCTAAAGCGCCCGTCCCATGCACAAACTAAGAGAAAAATTTTACATAATTTTAATCTGAGATAAAAATTTTTTGCCCTTAGCCTGTAGCCATGGTAATTAACTGAAGAAGATAGAATCAGGGGTGCTGAGAGTTCCAAGCATTCCCACTAAATTCAATCAACCTTCCTCTTTTTCAACCAAAATTCATGATCTTTCCCCCTGAAGACAGAAAGGAGAAAAACCCTTCACCAAAAAGCTGGACTTTTTCAGGGCTTAAACGTAGTGAAGTATTTTGCCTCATTTTTTCCTGTTCTTGTAGGGGCTCCCCTATTTGACGTGACCGGCACATGACTAAGTAGGGCATTTGTGTGGTTGGACTATTCTTGCACCCCTAGATAGGACTGTGCTGGAGCATTAAATCCATTTTTCAATTGATTCCACTCTTTTTTCAAAGTTAGTTCTCTCTTAAGGTCCTTTTTAATTGATGTCCAATAAAAAATTCTCATCTTTTCATTTTCAGGTCAATGTTCACCCGATCCGGGTAGCTTTGAATTTACACAAAGTTCTTTTAGACAATCTGGATGTTACGAAGAAAGCTCTTCATACTCTCTGTGAAAAAGAAATGAAAAAAGGTCAAGGATCAAGCGAAGTTTTGGCTTTCAAACTTCATTACCTAGCTTGTGTAGTTGGAGAAGTTGCAAAACACAGGTAATTCTCATACCTTTATCATTTGCAATGGACTACTTGACAAAGCGCGGATTCATCCATAATGCTATATGTTTTGTCATCAAAATTACATTGAGAATTTAATTTGTGCAAAGAAAATTATTATAAGTTCCTTCTAAGATATTAGCGTTTTTTGATGCCTAAATTGAAACTTCCTGCTCCAAAAAAAAACATGATCTACTTGAGTTGAATTGCACACCAAGTGTCACAATGACGGTCTTTGCAGTATGAAAATTTGTCAACCTTTATGTCGGTGCTTTGGCTCAACTATTGCTTGTTGTTTACACTTTGAACAACACTGGGCGAGGGAAGACCACTGCTTGTTATGAAGCCTGCCAAAACCGTTGTAGGTTGCGGTTTGATTCGCAAAGACTCAGGATTTTACTATGAGCAGGAATTTCAACTTAATCATAACCAGTGCTAAATGAAAACATTAATATTTTGGTCAGGAGTTAATGTCAGTAATTCTTGTTTTGCAAATCATCTGTTATGTGAAATGTTGAAGGAGAAACGATTATCAGAATTCTTAAACTCGTACCTTGTCCAGCAGTTCACACGCAAATAAATGCTTCAAGATAAAAATGCTGGTGAATTTTATGGCCTCTACTTCTTTTTTATGCATGTAAATGATAGGAGCTGTTTGAGATCACATTGATGTTCCCTTATGACCCAATCAAAGGAGAGCTTGTGCCAAAACCTATTTTGCTACCAAAATGTTCATGTATAATTGTATACTACACTGAAAAAAAAAGGATTGGATTACATTGACTCAGCTAATCCAAATTCCTGTTTTACAGCAAATCTTTGAGTTGCACTCCAACATACCAGAGTAGCACAAATTAGTTAGAGTACAACTCCAATAAGTTTGCTCTACAATACCAATGAATTCGTGTGCAAAACCGATTTGAGTTAGCTTATTTGATATCATCAAATCCTTTTATTAGTGCATCTTTTTGTGTAATTTGCTAATATGATAGCAATCTTAAGTTTATTTCTACTTATTGGTTCCCTCAATGAATTTGTAGTTATCGACTTTTTTCACTCCATTTGCCTTGAAATTTTGATTTTCATAATTTTGATCAAAAGGATAATTTGCATATATTTTGAAATAATTAGAAACGAACCTTGTTCAATTATCCGAGCTGAAATTATGTATTTGAAAAGTTATAAAACGTTGGTGCTGAGAAAATAAAATTTCATGAGCCACATGCCAAGCATTATACTTGTGTTTTATTTTATTTATTTATCTATTTATTTATTTAAAATAATGTTTTCCTTTGATTTTTTCATTTTTGCAGACAAGCAGATAAACAGAATGATGTTGTGACAGCATTTGCAAAAACCTGTTTGAATCCATCACGAGGGGAAGAATATGTAGAGCAATTCATCCGGGATTGCGTTCGTGAATTTCCATTTAGAGACTGTACAATTTTTAAACAGGTAATCATCCTGTATTTTACAGTAAATGTTTTTTGATGAGTTGTTCAAGAGATGGTAAGCTGTGATCTTGTTGAGCTTTTTCTCATCCAACTGGGCTAACTTTTTTCAGAGAAATGCATTTTCTGACACCATGCGCTACAAGAAATCCAAGAATACATGGTCCGCGCATGCTATTATAGAAAAGAAATGAAAATTCAAAAAGAAAACGACATAAGTAATAAAGAATAAACTATCTCAGCACAAGAAAGTCGTTTACCAGCAAGAGAGCGCAGAACATGTTTTTCTAAGAAGCTTTACCGAAAAACAACCACACATGCAAGATATCTTTAATGTTTTACTTCTTTTGAAGGTATCGTATACTAAAATAACCTTGAGGTTAAGGGACAGTTCAACTTTTCCAGACAGAGAATGAACGAGAAATGACACCGGATTTAGGCTTCTCCGATGATACGTTATGATTCCTGAAAGTATGCATGGAAAAGCTCTTGCGGCCATTTCCTTTGGAAAATGGGACAACCTCTTTCACACCAATATCTCTGCTCCAACTGGAAAGAAATGTCTTTCAATTTTTGTTTTTCATGCCATTGAGCTCACTGAGAAAAACAATTTATTGTATAGGTATAATCAAGGGGAAATATATTTGATTTTAGGCTGATAAGCTTTACTCAATTTCATATTAGATTTAGTACTTACTTGTATGTATGTATCATGTTGCAGTATTGGCTCGATTTTCTCTCAAAAAATATTGGAATATATGGCTCCTAATCAGTAACTTCTTTTATTTTTAGATGCTTACAACTCTAGCCAAAAGAGATACATCACCACCTGGAGTAGTCGTCATATCAAATGCAATCAATGGTCAGCGAGGTTTCAGCGATGGTTCTTCCCAGTGTGTCACTTGTGGACAAGAAAAAGTGATCAGAAAATGTTCTAAGTGCAGAGCTGTTCAATATTGTGATAGAGAGTGCCAGAGGTTGCATTGGTTTGTCCACAAGAAAGAATGCAATAGGGAAACAACCAACTCAAACCAAAATGGAGTTAAATAATATCACTCATTAATTCTCTGTTACTTCCAGCTAGCTAGTTTACCAATATTTTCCACTTTTGTTCTTATTCTTTGTTTTTTTTTTTTTTTTTTTTTTTTTTTTTTAATTTTAGTTTTAATTTCCTCTATGTTTGATGTTCGTGGTTTCTTTCAGTAAAACTTTATTTTCTTTTTCTAACACTGTCTTGATATTTTCCCTGTGTTAATCAAATCAGTAGGAACATTTGTGCTCTGCAGGAATGTGGGGTCATCTTTGAATTATGCACTGCTTGCTTACTCTTACCCCCTCCATTCTTTAAAATTGGACGTATTTATGCTAAAAGGTACTATGTGCATATGCTTTGCATGCAACATAGTTCCTTTTAGCACAAATACATTCAATTCTGTGCAACACTAGGAAAGACTTCTACCCTTCAAGGACCAATAGAAATATTCAATTCATGCACGTTTTCATAGTCCTACAAGGTTTCTCAGTGTAAAACTCAAACCTACTTTATTTGACGTCAACATGGGCTGACTAGTGAGTGCGGTTATGCTTGTCCTCAAAAAGCAGATCAGCTTGAATGACCCAAGATCTAGTTTGTCTATTAAAGTGCTCCCGACGCAACTGTAGGCTAATTTTTTGAAATTTTATGTTTATCTGCTGGACATAACTTCACCTTCCAGCCAAAGTATCACGAGCGCCATGCAACCTTTAAAAATTTCCGCCGCCATTTTATTTTTTAACAGAGAAATTGCTCAACGAAGCTGTCCAAAAATTTCACTGAATTTTCTTTAAAATGTAATGTAGTGAAATTATCATACAGATTAAACCAAGAATTTCTCCAAAAAAAAAAATAAAATAGCGGCGGAAATTTTTAATGTCGCATGGCGCTTGTGATACTTTGGCCGGAGGGTGACGACAACAAGATTAAAGAGGAATGTAGCTTATGTGATTGGTAAACTATGTCAAAATACTGGCTTTTAGATGAATGATATCTCTAGGAAACCCTTAATTAATAGATACAAGAAATTAACAACAAAAAAAGTTAATTGTAGAAAAAAAGATTTTACTTTTTTCATTTTCCTTTCGGACTAAGTAAAAGAATGTACACTCAGAATTTTTAGCTTATAAATATAGGTATGTATGAATGAATGGATTGGTTTATAAATGTATATGCATATATACATAAACAAATTACATACAAATATATATTTCTGTTAATGTATCCATCTGTAGTAAGTTGATCAATATTTACAGAGCTTGAAAATTTAATTTTAAAAAAAGAACAAAAAACTAATATCTAATAAAAACTATGATGATTGAAATTAACAAGTAATACTCATCTATTATTTGAATGTACAAGCAAACTAGGATGGCAATTCAACAATGAGTAAATGGACAAAATAAAACAACAAATTCTGGGGGGAAAAAAAATTGCAAATTGTTCAATATTTCCAAAATATACTGTTCAAACTAAGTTGAAACTACATGGGTAAATGGCACACAGGCACCAGAGGAGGGAGAGACTGGAAAAATAAATAAAAATGTGATAAAATGTTGAGTAATGGATGAATCACAGTAATTGATGCATAAAAATAAACAAAATTTGGTGATTAAACACTTTTTGCTCCAGGAAAATATACAAATTACCTTTATTGCAAAAATTGATAAAAATTAAAATCATGGAAAATATTTACGTTGCTAAAAAAAATAAATAAATAAATTAATAAAAAGAAAATACACAGCATGGTATTTTGTAATTAGTGGAGGAGGTATCAAAAAAGACGATCAACATATTTCGAGTCTTCATTGCTCCCAGCTTTACTGACAAGTGACAACTTCACATCATTTTTTACAACTCCTCAAAAGTATGAAATTTCACCCAAAAAATTTGCACGATCTCCTGATCAGTTTTATTGCACTGGGTTCCGATTACAGGAAATAATTCTGATACAATGGGGTCTGGCTCATTAAACACTGTCCAAGAACATATTTGCATCAAATTTACATTTGAGTACTTCAAAGTAAGACAGGTATTAGATACATAATAGGTATTGAGGCAAATGAAAGGATCTGAAAGGGCATGGCACACAGAGTAAGTTATTTTTTACTTGATGGACTAGGTAAATGTAGGGTCAGAATGGAACCACCTCATCAAAAAATGCTGCTACAAAAATCTCAGCTGGTGGGAGAGTTAAGTTTCTATGAAATGTTCTGACATTTCCTCCAGCTTCCAATGTCATTTTTGCTTGGTATGCTGTCAAATCTGGTTATTAAGTAACAGAAATAGTCAAAAAATATGGACACTCACTTATTTGTTCGTCTTTTCCAATAGAGAATATAAAGAATTATGCTGAGAAAGAACCGCACTTTTCATTTCCAGAATTTGCCAGTGTTTCTCACAAATACTACCCCACGGCAGGGCAACTTTCATACTTCCACAATTTATTTATTTAGGACCTAAGGACCAAATCAGGATCCTTTTAGTTCTAGAGGCAATAAAGGGCCAAGCTTTGAAAACTTCTAACGCAATTTTCTCGAAACCCCAAAACTTGTGTCCGCTACTCTCACATATAACACTTTATGTGCTCAAGTTTTCTTTTTATAAGGTGGTATGTCTGAGAGATTCTTAACACTTGCAGCAGACTCCTTTAGTTTTTGCTTTGCACAAAAGTATACTTTTCGAAATAAACTTAAGAAACCATTTAAATTAGGAGCTAACATTAAGCAGAGGATAGGCATATTCTTAAGGTGTGATTGAGCAACACAAGCTAGAATGAAAGCAGTATTCTGATCAATGCATATGAGACTAATCCAGTATTGGAGAATAGATGTAGAAACCTTAAAATATTGAGGTTAATCAGTCTAAAGGCGGCTACAATGTGAAAATAGGTTTTTAATCAATAGCTCTCAGCGCTTAAAATATATTGGAAAAAGGGACAGAAAAGAATCATTGATTAAATGGCATGCTAAATCTAAGTCTTAAATTTATCGGAAGAATGAAACAATTGAGAGCATCAAAAACAAAGATTGTGTAAATTGGCACAATAGACATGGAAAAAGTGAACTGTTCATTTATTATGAACACATTAAAGAGGATGAAAATTTCATTCTGTAAAATTGGATACAATGGAGGAGCTGGGAATAAAATTCAACTTAAAAAATTACAAGGACAACAAATTTAAATTCGCACATATTTCTTCCTGCATTACGGTTTCTGTTGCAAACTGATCTCAAAAATGCAAATAAGTAAAACATGGGTTTTAAATTACGCTTAAAAACCAAGGAAGCATATTTTTTTTTCACGAATTACAGACATTTACAATTGATAAAAAGGTGGGCCCCAGGTCTCAAAAACCCAAGCGATGTAAAAGGCTAAGATAAAAAGGGGTTTCAAGATGAAACAGTAAAGGATTTTAAGCATAATCAAAAACCGAACTTGATTGGTAAGATAGGTTTCATTTTAAATCAACTTAATCTGCACGTTCCTACACATATTTGATCTAGTAAAAAATAACACAACAGGGACTGAGTTGGACTTCAAGTGAAGCAAATTGTACAATGATAAATCAAAAAATTAAGAGTAATCCACATACAATATTTTGATGTGACCAAAGTGGTTTTCTTTGCTAAAATCTTTAAGTAAGGAGTTCATCTACTCATTCAATGAAGGTTACTTTAATTGGAAAGTTGTTCAAATCCTTGGTGTGGAACATTGTGTAGTAATCACAGAAGAATAACATGAAACTGAAAAAGAAAAAATTAAGTTTTGACACAGAATCAAATATAATTTTTTGCTTAAAATTTGTTTAGTTCTCATTCAGCAATGACTCTATACAACATTAAAAGTTTATTACAGCCACACATCATCCACTCTTTTGCTATAATGCAGACTTTCTAGGTTTGGCTTCAGCTACCTCATTAATCAAAGTCTTCTTCAAAGATAGAGATTTAATGTGCCACTTCCCTGATTCTTTTTTCAAGTACAGTTAATTTTCACAGACTCTAAGATATACTCTTGTTCCTGATCAAAATTTATGATCATTATCACCTTCCATCGGACAGTTGGGCTGTGTTGAGTTGAAGAACGATTGATTACCATGTGTGAGCCATGGCAGCTTGTGAGATCACCACTGCTGAGTAGATGTAGGCAAAAGCGAGCTACTTGGTTTAAGTATACGGAATCTGTGATGACTGCTTTGTACAAAATCAAGAGGGGGTTTTTTTGGAAGGGGGGGGGGAATAATAATTACATGAATCAAATAAATTGATAAGAGAGTTAACAACAAAGATGTTGCATACAAATAAAAGGAATGACGATGGTGAAAAATAGACTGATGACACAGCAGTCCTTGCAGCCACTGTTGTGCTACTTTCAGGCTTGGTGCATCGTACTCAGATATTATACACGTGGCAAAATTAGGAAATATTTGAAAAAAAAATTAGAGGTTGGACGACCCAAAGTCGACGCTAAGTAGAATAAGCCAACCCAACCTGCACAATCAGTTACAAGAGTAAAAGAGGAGATAAATTATACAGCTGAGTCTTCTACAATCATTTAAAAAGTTTTCGCATTTGATGAATTTATAGGATTTGTTCATGGTAATTTGGACAACAAATTTTACCATTAGAGATTCAACTTGCTAAAGATTCAATTATTTCAACAATCTTGTGCAAAAATAAGAAGAAGAAAAAGAACTATTCAGTATTTGTGCTTTCTTAAGAGCAGATGTAAATTACAAAAAAAATATTTCTTTCTCATACGCCTACAGAACGTAAAGGGGCAATATAGAGAAAAAGTAAGCTGGAAAATAAGGTAATCGAACAGGAAAGACCTATAATTTCACCAAATAACAAAGGCAAACCTGTAAGCAGTAAGAGACGCACCACTTTGGAGTGTTGCTCTTCTTGTTTTAAGTGGACGCAGATTTGGAAATTGTTGCAGTTAAACAAAAGAAGTCTACCTCGAATGGACTCTATCTCAATTTTAGAAAAATGTATCCCTTCAAGGGATATTAAGGGCACAGATATTGCTAAAGCACTGCTGTGAACGTAGGGCTAAGTGACAATACCCATTAAGTTTTCATTCTAATTTTTTTTTTTTTTCTTTTTTTATAAAGTACGTTCCAAATAATCAAGGCATTATGCAAAAAAAATCTATCTGCAGAAGAGTCGAAAATGGCTACCTTGCTTTGCCAGCTCCTTAACGAGTTATAAACTGAGCACGGCTTGCAATTTCAATGGGTTAAGACTACTGATCTTATGTCTTTTGCCAAAACTTCCAATGTAGATAGACTATTTGCATATATGCATCCAATTTACTTAGAGAAAAAAAAAACTGCTAGGATGTACAAAATAAATACACTTATTTTTTCAACTTTCCTTCAAAACCTAGAAAATTATCGAGAAGCTAGTGCACAGAAACAGTGATGATGTGTTGAAACATGGAAGAGTTTTTGACACAAATAGTCACTGAAGAATCTCTCAAATCAATTGTACAAAAAACGGGAAGAAAGAGATATACACTGTACTTAATATCATGTACCAAAAAACAGTGCTTCCAATCATTCAAATATCACAGACGTCCCGGAAAAAGAGCATTAAAATTATTGTTACAGTGAAAACTAAAACCTGGACCTAAAATAAAACTTTCGATCAAATCTACTGGTCAAGAGCTCAAGCTTCCGCAATTAGACCAGAAAGCCAATGGGCCATTTATAAGTATATAACACTCAATATAGGGGAGGGGGGAGGAGGAGAACATTATGTCATTTCGTTTTTACTTGTTAAAGGATAGAGGCCTTCATCAACAGCATTGTGAGGGAAGAGGGGGGTCGGAAAATCCAAAATATAGCATTACATATGTTAGGGATGGCCCTTAACTACTACTTGGCAATCTCATTTTCACATGAAAGATGCAAGAGCATTTTAACTCAGTTTTTGGAACTTGAAATCATACATTTTAATATAATTGACAAATTAAAACATGACTTTAAGAGAAAATTCTTGCCACACTGGGGTGAAAAATAAAAAAATTATGATGATAAAAAAAAATTTGGAAACGTTAGACACTATTATACATTCTGGTCAATTAAAATGACCCTGAAAGATTGGAACTAAAATCTTGCAATGAAATACAACAGTTTTGGCCTTAATTCTAGTTACGATTATTTACCCTCGTTAGGGATACAAAAATTTCCAAGAGAACTTCAAGATCTCTTGACCAGAGATTCAAAGGCATTCATGCAATAAAAAGGGATGGATACACCTAAAACCACAGCAATCGTAGAGTTTTTTTCATTTTTGGTAAAAAATTGAGGGTAGGATGTTACAGTTAGTTTACAGTAGAGGGAAATTATTGCGAGAGGGAATTCACATAATTAAATATGAGATTTAATAAATCAACCAGCAAACTACATTAGTCAGCCTGTGACATAATGCGATGCTTTCTTGTCTCTCAGTGAAAGAGGTACATAGTGAATAGTCCCTATGAGATCAAGAGTACTAAGAAACGTTTGCACAGACTTACAGATACCAAACCGTTTAAAAAAAAAGCAGGAGAGAAAAAGGAGAAACGAAACGATGAAAAAAAAAATATTTTAACAAACACTTGAGATAGAGAGAAAAAGGGTTGGGGGAGTGGTGAATGTTTTAAAATACTGAGTAAGATGTTCCAATTTGAGAGAAATACGTTCTAACGATACACATAGACCAGCAAAGTAGCTTTAAATTAACAGGAGACCTGTGCAAAATGCACGGCTGGAAAAGTAACGATGAAATAACAAAATTTGAAAAAACTAAAACAATCGATAAACATCCTAACCAGCAGCGGCAACAGATCTGATATTTGAGAGGCACCAACGTCAAGGTCGATGAAACCTGAAAAGACAAAGACAGAAATCTTTAACAAATGTCATGAACAAAATTTGGGTGGGAAAAAGAAGAAACTAATAATTATTGAGAATTAGTTGATACTGATAATTGAACAACAGCTGCAGTATGCCTATTTTCATTTTAGAGCATAGAAAAAGATATTCTGAGCAGATGCTCTTCAACGTAGCTTGTAGGTTAGGTTAGGTACTGAGCTACTTATGAAGAATGACGCATAAAAAAAAGGAAAAATTCTATATGATTGAAAGCATTTCCCTTAAACCATCCCTCCTCAAAACTGACTAATTTACCTTGAGGCAGGGGGGATCTAGATTCTTCATTTTACTTTTGACCGACTGAAATATCAAATCATTCAATGTAAGTAGGCCTGAATCAAAATAATATTACAATGTACAAAAAAAGACATTGGCTGCATTATACAAAAAAAGAACTAATGACTTCCTAGTGCTTCTCATTTAAACTCATTTTCTTTTTCAGAAAAAAATCTGAAAGTTTAAAAAATTTAAAAGTTGCTTTTTCTATTTGTAAATCAGAAGAATTTTATTTGAACGAAAAAGTTATCCTGCATATTCCATTTGTTTATCTGCTCTCAATTTATACATTGTAAACAAGCGAGTTTTACAAACTTAGCAACAATGCAGTACAATTATGTCCTTTTTGGAAAATGCATTCTATATTGATGGTAAAACTCCCAAACTACATATCTCGGTTTGTGATGTTCAGACTTCCTTATCATTAAAATGGAAAACAATTCAACATCAGTTCTTTAAAACTTCCATGATTCCATGATGAAACATTTTTTCCTCAATGAGGCGAAAATTATAAGAAAACTTCAAGGAAAGATGTTGATTTGTTCTTCAAAAAAGAAGTAAAATAAGATGGGGGATTTTAAAACACCGCAAACGGGATACCGGAGTTTGGGAGTTTTACTGTCGATATGTGTAAATGCATAAATATACAGGGTGATCCAAAAGTCCCTTCCACCCCCTCTAACTTTTTACCTAATTGAGGTAAAGATTTGAAACTCGGGGGATATTCCTAGGTCAAAGGAAGCTACTTTTTGGCCCCCCTAAAATTTTCAGGGGGGCCCCCCCCTTAGGGGGGCAACAGCCCCCAACTTTTAATTTTCAAATGGGAAGACCCCCTTTGTGATAGCTCGTTTGAAAGAACATAAAAAAAGAAAACTTTTCGCGCAAACCCAAAGTCAATATCTCAAACCGGTTCAAAATGGCGGCCGGTTAAAGTTCAAAATGGCCGAAAATTCACATCGATTATTTGTCGATGGATTTGCGCGAAAATCGGTATGTATGGGTATTTTGACACGAGAAAAACGGATTTGACGTTAGATTTTCAAAAAAACCCAAAATTTTCGAAATGGCCGCCGGTTAAACTTCAATATGACCAAAAATCGATTTTTTTTAGAAATCTACGTTCAAATTTGTTTATCTAATGCCAAAATACTCTCAAATTCCAAGTTTTAGGCAAATCCATCAGGAAAAATCCGAGGTGACAATTTTCGGCCATTTTAAACTTTGACCGGCGGCCATTTTGGAATTTTTGGTTTTTTGGAAAATCTAACATCAAATTCGTTTTTCTCGTGTCAAAATACCCATACATACCGATTTTCGCGCAAATCTATCGACAAATAACCGATGTGAATTTTCGGCCATTTTGAACTTTAACCGGCCGCCATTTTGAAACGGTTTGAGATATTGACTTCGAGTTTGCGCGAAAAGTTTTCTTTTTTTATGTTCTTTCAAACGAGCTATCACAAAGGGGGTCTTCCCATTTGAAAATTAAAAGTTGGGGGCCGTTGCCCCCCTAAGGAGGGCCCCCCTGAAAATTTTAGGGGGGCCAAAAAGTAGCTACCTTTGACCTAGGAATATCCCCCAAGTTTCAAATCTTTACCTCAATTCGGTAAAAAGTTAGAGGGGGTGGAAGGGACTTTTGGATCACCCTGTAGTAACAAGTCAAAGAAAATAGGATGACTAGGCTAAAATAAAGAAATAAACCCAGGATTTTCCGGGCCTATTCCTCTTTTTCATTTCAGCTTTTTCCCCATTTTTGTATGACTTATTGGTTGGAAATTTTGAGCTATTTAAATTCTGTATCATTCATATGAATATATGTATCTTAACTTACAAATGAGTGAATAAATTACAGTACCTTGTCAGATGCCTACTCTCTTGATGAACCTCCATTTCTGTGCTTTTAAATTCGTTCAGTTCTTTTCGAATAGCTGCTTTGTCTTTCGGTGTCAAGCGTGTCCAAGGCTTATCAGCTCGCCTATCGTAATCATGTGCTTGTGTTACTTCAATGTAATCATTGAAACGAATAATCTGAAAATAAAAGATGTATGTAGATATCACTTTAAAAGACAAAAAGCTGCAGACATATTTCCAATATCTCTTATTCTCAGAAGCATATTTCCATTGATGATTGGTCGAGTCAAAATGCCGCGACAATGGCAGCGAGATCATAATCGGGTTTGTAAACAGACTTTCGAAATTGATGCTGGTCTGATGCCATCATCTTCATCAGATCATTTCTGAACCCTGCTTTTTGTAGGATTATATATTGGCTCCAACATTTGCAAGAATTCCACCTTCTATCTGTCTGGTAAGTCCCGATGTTGTTCAAAAAAATTATGACCGTGTCAAAACAAAATACGAAAACTCTTGATCCACCCATTTTGGTTCGACCGATCATCAACAAGAATACGCTTCAGGAGGAAAAACTTGCACATTACATTAAGTTCACAGCTTTGGTCTAGAGGCTTTGAAAATACCAAAAATTGAGACCTCAGAGAATGCAAAAAATTATCAAATTTTATAAAAGGGCTTAAACTGAGAAAAACCACGAGCATTTCCAGAAAAAATTTCAAGTTGCTACTGGGTGATGGTTAAAAAAGAAAAGAACTAAGAATGAGTCATGTGATATTGACTGACAAATTATGTAATTCCTAGTCATAGGACTGGAAAATAAACGGATGAGACATTGATCTAGCAACAAAATTTTCTTCCTTCTTTTGCAAGTCAGAACACAAAAACTCGTTAGCTAAATTAAAAAGTTTTGGGTAAACATGATAGGGGCGATTAGATATCAAAATGTACTCACTTTTTTCTCCTTAAGTTCCTCAACAGTTGGTCTAAAACTAAGTTTCCGTAGAAGTACCCGCTTCTTTTCTTCTTTCAGTTTTCTCTCTTCGGCAGCAGATTGTTCTGACACACACAAAAAAAATAAAAGCATAAGCAAGATGAGGAAACAAGTGTGCATATTACTATAAGAAACTTGCAAAGAATCCATGTGAAAAGTCTTGATTTCAAGAAAAAGCTAGCTTTTTATCAAAACTGACCACTAAAACACAGAAGAAGCACTTAGCATTTGTGATAGTACAATGTATGCATAATCAGGCACGTCTCAATAGGAATTTGTCAAATAATTACATTTTTTTAGCAGGAATGGAAAACTGCGCAGAGGTTGCAAGGCAACTATTAATAAATGAATCCTTTTAAGAAATATTCCTTTAAGAGATTCCCTAGATATGGTGCTTTTTTTTGTACCCTGACGTCTATTTCTAACGGATACCGCAACAATTGTTGCGGTGCAAAACAACTTTACAACTATCATTTGCTTTCGCAGCAGCAACAATGAAAGTTAAGAAAAAAGGATTCTTTATTTGACTGAATGATGAAGTTGGCTAGGTCTTAAAATTGTCAAAGATTTGTCAAATTTACGTTGTCTTTTCATAATCTTGAGACATTTTTATGGTATCACTACCACAAAATTATTTGTTTATGATGGAGCGGTAAATAAGGTACTCACTTTTTAGAATATTTCTTTCCTCTAATTCTTCTTGCGTAGGTCGCATACTTAATCTCCTGTAAGCAAACAAAACAAAACAGAAATTAATCAATGATATAATTCAGTGATTGACAATGTTTTGAAATGCTCAATGCCACTCTACCTTCTAATTTAATTATAAAATGTAACTTCAATCATGCATCCTTTTTAAGAGTGCCAGGAGAGCTCCCTTTTTGAAATCACTCGGATTCCAAAAAGGAAAAATTTTCACAAAAATTGTTTTCCGCCTACTTAGCGAAAGTCTCCTTGCTCTCTGTTAAAATACAAATAAAAAGAGACCTCATTTGTAAAAATCGGCTGAATAGGAGAGTAGTTATAGCTCGAAATCCAAAGAGATTAACTTAACGCGATTTCCATGCCCGGCAGTTCGCCCAAATTGCGGTCGTGCGTAAATGCCGCCAATCAGCTTAAAATCAAGATAACTGGACAGAATCTTTAAAATTAATTTACATTCAATGTTCATGAATCAATATTTTCTCCCAAATTTAGTAGTGTACCAATTGATACAAATAGCAAAGACGTGAAAATAGTAGGTATGTGTCCAAAATTTCAGTTCCTCGGCACGCTTTTCCAACATATTCATGTTAGTTTTTTCTTCTTGTTTTTTTTTTTTTTTTTTTTTTTTTTTTTTTTTTTTTTTTTTTTTTTTTTTTTTNAAAAAAAAAAAAAAAAAAAAAAAAAAAAAAAAAAAAAAAATTGACGAAAACGAACATTAGGCAAAATAAAAAATGAACTACATATTGCTATTAGGAGCTACTCTTTCTCGCTCATCCATAAAATCATCTATATATATAAGGAAACTAATGAAACATACATTGTTTCCAGGATGAGTCAGAAACAGTAGTTACATATTGCCAGATTAAGTCCAATCGATAGCCATTTGTTTGAATTTAGACTAGATGTGCCTCAACTACATTACTGAATTGAACAATAGTGTGTTTCATGTTAACATGGCAAGAAAATTGCACTCATACAGGAGCTCTTAAGGACAGATCCTTTCAGGTGATTGTTGTCTACAAGACTGAGGTGGAAAATTTACATTTTTAAGCAGTTCAGGAACAACATTTTTATAGGAACACATGAAAATGGGTATGCAGTTGACTTAAAGTTAGTCCTGATGATAATAGAGAAGAAATCATATATTTACCGTATTAATCGTGCTCCAACAGCTTCTTTGCTTTCCTGTCGTTCCTTTTCCGACTGGATTTGAAGAATATTCCTATCTATTAGTTCTTGTCTATCAGGTCTTAAAGCTAATTTTAACGCCAGACTATCCTTACGTGCTATTTTTGTGGCTAGTCCACCTGGAAACAGACGCAAGGTAAATTAGATGACTCATTAAACTTCTTTTAGAAGAAATCTACAGTATGTAATCATACTTGATGGGTCATGACTTAGAATTAGCACATGAACTCTTGGCAAGACTTCATTTAAAGATAATGAAATAAGTCAGTGCAGTTAGGTTTCATTCGATATGGTTTTTGATCCAGCTGAGAGTAAACTTCTTGTTGTTGATGCTGCTATAATTTGGTCAGGATGGAAGATCAGCGGGCTGATTATTGAAATTGATGGACGAAACAATAGACAAAGAAGACATGGGGAGTGTGGAGCGATTCATTGGTTAAAACTGATGGTTTTGACAAACTATGGGAGGAAATGATGGACCAAGTAATGGGTCTTTTGTCGGTTGCTGTTAGTTGGTCTACTACCCACCTCCTTTGTCTACTGCAATCGCCCTCTTCCACCAAAAGGATCCCTCCAAATTCCTCATATCTTCTTTGTCTATAGATTTCAACAATCGGCCCGCAGCTCAGAAAATCTGTAGGTAGTTTTGCAAGCTGAGATAAGCCTTTCAAAGTAGAAATGATAGATGTGACAAGCAAATACCTGCAATTTTTAGTGAGGAAGGTCCGAGTTTGCAGGCATAGAAATAACATCTGGGAAAGTTCTCCTTTTCAACTCGCACACACTCCTTGTATCTCTTCTCATAATGATCAAAATTGATCATGCTGATTGACACAGTACAAGAGTACTTGCTGGTCGTACAAGTTGGGAGGTAAATAATGTAAGATTTTGCAACCGTGCATCTCCTCAACACATGAGATGTCTAGTGATAAGTTTGGTTTCTCTTTCATAATTCATCCATCTTCTTTGGTGTTGAATTAGTCTTGCTGCAGCCTCACAATGCCAACGCAGTCTTAAGTTTTCTTTTATAATAAATCATTAAGTCAGCCTCAGTGGTGTAGTGGTCAAGGCAATTCGCTGCCAACACTGAGGTCCCGGGTTCAATCCCCGGAGGTGACTGATATTCGAGGACACTCAAATATCAGTCATCGTGACTGTGGATGACAATGCCACTCCAACACCCTGTGATCCTTTGAGGTAACAGGGTATGAGAGGGACATAGTTACCCAGTGAGTAATATATCTGCATTGTTCAACTGGGTTGTGAAGAATCAGTGATCACTTGTAGTGTGCGCAACTGTCAGCTTTACCTATCAATTAATAGAGATTGAAGCAACACAGTCTAACTCGGTGGAGGCATGGCCCTGCTCTGAAAGTTCACACTCTCTAGCGTCTGCCAACGTCGCTGATACAACCTTCAATTCAACCGCGTTAAACAGAAAGGAATCAAGCCACATCAGCTATTGCCAAATTTAACAGGGAAATGATATGTTTTACGAGAGAACGTTCAAGCAGATTCCTTTGAAAATTTTAAGGAATTTGCTTTGTATTATAAAGTAAATTACTGAAATTTGCACAAAATTCCGCTCAACCGTTTTCATGTAGAAAATTAAATTGCCTGATCAAATTTGGCAATAGCTCATGTGGCTTGGTTCCTTTTTGTTTAACGCAGTCCAATTGGCTTATCAGACGACTGTGGAGCCTTGCGCAGATATGGAATGTTTCAATAGTACAAAGTTGTACAAAGTTAAGGAGTACGGACCAACTACGGGGTGCACGACAGCAGTAGCCAGTTTCCTTGGCCCCTTGAGGGCGCCTTGCCGGTAAGCCCTGCCCTTACTTACTTACTATAATAAATCATTACACATTCACCTACACATTTTACATAAAATACTCCCTCTCTTTAACATTACATAAAGATGATGGCTGCATCAACCTGTTTTTGTGCTACTACATAAAAATTTTCAAACACATTCCTTAGAATTTCCCAGGACTCAAAATATTTCAAAAAATTCTAGGGGGCTTATTTTGACTTCTTCTTTTGAAAAAGGAAAGAAAAACTACATGTAGAGGTATATTTTGCCAACAAATAATCTCTGTAAATATATTGTCTCTGATTCTCTAAAGAAAATGGAACCAGGGTTTGGTCGACTCATGAAAGGCAGTGTACTTAAAATGATTTAATCTATTCAGCTTACCCTCTTCATCATCTCTATACAAAATAGGGCCGTCGCCATCACTGCTGCTATCTGAGTCTGAAAACGGTCTTGAATTTTCCTTATTTTCCATCGTGCATGGAAGGGTCAATCCTAACCTTACAGGACGAGTACTGAAACACAATGAAATTAAAATAAATTAGAATAAGAGGTAAATATACCTACAAATCTCAAATACGATCAGTTATTAAATGAAATGAATTCAAATATGCACACCTACACACATCTATCTATCAAATGCAGCAGCGCTGCAAAAAAATGTGATTACTCAAAATACCTTTGTAAATTAAGAATAGATCATAAGATTAGAATACATGCATGAACAGCCTTTATCTTCCCCCACTTGATACTGTTGAACAATATTGTCTATTACTTTCTCAGATGAGATTGTTTTATCGATTATGACCGATTTTCAACCACAAACTAGCGGGCTGATTGTTGAAATTGATAGACAAAGCTATAGACAAAGAAGACATGGATCAAAGAAGACAGGAAAGAGCATAGACAGAAGATAGACATAGACTATTGGTTGGAATGAGTGGTCCTTATAGACTAAGGGGGTAAAAGATGAAAAATGAGAAGACTAAAGGGTCTCTCGTGGGTTGCCGTTAGTTAGTCTATTGCCTACCTCCTATGTCCATTGGAACCACTTACTTCTACCAAAAGGATCCCTTCATATCATTTGTGTCTTCTTTGTCTATAGCTTTGTCTGTCCATTTCAACAATCAGCCTGCTGACCATTAATTTATTTAAGTTTTGTTTGTCTAAAGTCACATTCAAACAGTATCTTGCAACAACTTGAATCTTTCTAAAATTGGGAGGTTGGATCATCTTGACATTTTTGTAACATGACGCTGAGATTAATCAAAAAAATTTAGTCTTCATGTTTGACTCTTAATTCAGACACCCTCTTTAACTTACTATTATTTAAGTGATCTTCTTTATCTAATGAAGGCTAGGAGGTTGCTAGGGTTGGAGGTGGTCCTCTTTATAAATTTGTATAGTAATAAGTAGTAATCTAAATAAAGTACTGATCAAAAAATGTAATAAGTGAGGTACTTTGCTTTAAAGTAATTACCATATCCTGATCCGAGGCCTCAAAGGTGCCCTCCTTCGTAAGCATGAAAAAAATACAGTCAAAGTTTTAAAAAAAACATAAGAGACTATACCCCAACCAAGAATCATTACAGGAAAAAAGAAGATAAAATAGAATAAAGAAAAGGAGTCCATAAAAAGGTTGAGACTCATTTTGGACTAAGGGAGCTTTAATCAATTGATTTCACAAAAGAAACCTGATAACACAGAGAAGCATTTGAAGAGTTGAAATTTTCATAAACATGCAATGTTTAGATCTAATTGAAGATATGAACAAAGTGGCGTACTTGTTTTTTGAGTACTTCAAGAACCATATTTAAAGACATTTTTCTTGGCCTGTTGTATTCTGCAGCTAGAGGTACTTTTCTGCTGTAATTTTTTTTCCTGTGGCTTCAGGAGCGGGGTATGTAATAATTTTTCCTCCTTTCCACTACCCTCAGAATCTCTGAAAACCCTTTGAAACAGTTAGACAAGAGAATACCCCAGCCTCCCAGTTACTAGGTCTAGCCCTGGGCTCTTTTTCATACAACCAGTCAATACTAATGCAGGCATTTGTAGAGGTCAAGCACAGCAGCAGTCGACAAAAACAAAATTTGCATCGAATAATTTGATGATTTTCGACTAAAATGTGCGTGGTTCTTCGATACCTACGGTTTTTTATTTATGTTTGGCCAGACTTAATTTTCGTAAATTATGTAAAAATTTTCCCTTTAACTGACAACTGCTTGTCTTTTGTACCACTAATTTTGGTGATAACATTGGTGAACATGGTTAAATTTGCTTCAGAACTGTTAACTGTTCATAGGTAAATTTTTAACGCTGAGTCTGTGAATGACCTTTGTTTTTCTCGGTCAGATTGATTTTCTCTGAATGGAAAACAAATTATGTCATTTCCAGATTCAGCAGCCAAAATTAAACAGGAATCAAAAGGTATTTTAATAGGCATGCATTACGTCGTTTCCTACGTAATTTTGGCTGCTGAATCCGGAGATGGCCTTAGTTTTTCTCGATTCTGCACAGATTATCCGGAAAATTAATTTTTCTTCGGCAAAGTTTTTTCCGGGCAAAATCCAAATGACCCAGCAAGACGGAGGTCATTTCCGAACTCAGCGCCGAAGATCTACCCAGAAATAGTTAAGAGTTCTGAGGCAGATTTGAAACACTTTTTTTTTGGTTGCGGTTCGTAATGTTTGATTAGCATTAGAAAAGTTGACGTACTTGGCAGCTGTGTGTGATGGAAGATCTTGCGTAGGAGTGGGTGGTTTCTTAAGAGCGGACTTGAGGGGCATTGCATGGAATTTGGGCTCCTTCGCCAAGATTTCCTCCACTCGATTTGTGTCGATCGATGGATCTGGCTGCGGCGAGAAGCAGTCATCATCGTCTATATCACTATCATAGTCGCACCTTACATCGCCTTCCTCTCCATCACTGTAATCTTCTTCTCTCCTTCTAATTGATTTGAAGGCTGGAAAAGTAAGAAAATTATATAATTAGAATTGATCAGCATGACTTAAGCGTTTCAAGATTCAGATTCTAGAAATGCAATAATTTAACACTCAATGGCACCAAACATTGAAATAATGCTCCAATTCCAAAGTAATCTTGTTCATTAAATTCTGATTAACTAATGTTATTAGAGAGGTATTCATAAAGCATGTATTTGTATTACCTCTCAAATCAAGGTGGATGAATCATATCATGAAAGACTGCTATCATCAGCTTTACTCTTAGCTTACTAAAAAGTGCCACTTTTTGAGATAGGATTTAGTGGTTTGCGATAGAGATCATTTTTGTTACAATGAAATGGACTATGAATGGACATTTCGAAATTCTGAACTAGGTACTATCTCTGGCTCATATTTAAAAACTTTTAAGTGCAAAGAAAAACTAATCAGGATACTTAATACTTAAATACTACTAATACTTAAACAGGCTGGCCGAAAATCAGTGCTTTCACACTTTCACAGTACTTTTTCAGTACTTTCCCAAGAAATTCAGTACTTTTTCAGTACCTTCATTTGACGAAATTCGAAAAATTCAGAAAATTTGGAGCTCTCCCTTAAATTGCAACAAAAATTACAAAGATACCAAACTTCATTGGTGGCTTAAAGATTAACGGACTGCACACTCGCGATCTTGCAGGCAAATACTACTCTAAGAATCAATGCGTAGAAATTGCATTCTTTCTAGGCTTTATTGAAAAATAAGCATTGTACGAAGGAAAAACTTCCGGACCTTCTGGCAGAATTTCCGCACTTTTACGGTACTTCCGGACCGTCATTAAAAAATCAGTACTATTTCCGGACTGGTAAACACCCTGCTGGCTGGCCAAAAATCAGTACTTTCACAGTATTTTTTTCAGTACATTCTTAAGAAATTCAGTACCTCGACAGAAAAATTCAATACTTTTTCAGTGCCTCCATCTGAAGAAATTCGAGCGATTTTAAAAAAATTAATTTCTCGCTCAAATTGTGACAAAAATTGAAAAAAATTCCGGACCTTCATGCAGAATTTCCGCACTTTTTCAGTGCTTCCGGATCGCCCTTAAAAAATCATATTAAATACTGTTTCCGGACTTTCCGGAAATTCCGGACTTGTGGACACCCTGTTCTGAACTGAGGTAGAAATTGTGGTTCCTGATTGGAAAATGCAGTCGAAATGATGTGTGAACTCACCATTACTATAACCATAATCAGGATGCTGATCTGAACGATTAGTATGAGTATTGCGAGGAATGGGCGAAGGAGAACTAAACATGGGCGGAGGCGGGATGGGTCCAATTTCCGAGACTGGAATTGGCGGCTCCGGCAGTTCTGACAAAACTAAAGAAGGAGCAACAGGAGGCGGAGGAGGAGTTGAGCAGCCTTGTCTATTCGGAGTCCCACCATCAACCACTGAAATCAAACAGAATCATGAGAAGAAGAAAAAAACAAATCATTGGCGGATCCACCAGATAGAGAATTTGCAGGTGTCATATATTTTGTGAATTTCATCCTTAAGATGTGAGGAAAACTGAGTGCGAGGATATCCTTGGTTTCTAAATTGAACAACTAACCGAGGAAATATGACAAAATAACCTAATCTGCTAAAATACATGTGTTCAAATTGGAAATGCCGCCAGATGACGTCATAAAGCGGCACATTTTTTCACTTTTAAATCAACTTCGATAATTTAATATTCATGAGCTTAAATTGAATACTTTTAGTCAAGATATCAAATATCTAAGTCTGGAAAATCTGCCCAACTTGAATACAACTTGGATATTCCTTGATTCAATGCTAAAAGTTGCTTCAATTAATCGTGTATGCAATAGCGCATCCGGCGTGCTCGAATAGATGCACGTGCCCAGATGGCAATCATAAACCGTGACTGTCAGGAATTAGCCACGGCTGTTTTCTTCGGCAAAAGCAGAAACGAAACGACGCGACAAAAAATCAAGTATTAAATGAGTGAATTGCTTGACTGTTTCAAAAAGCAATAGAAACGATGGCTCGAAAACATTTTTCATGAGAAATTAGGGAGAGGTCGAAATTTGACAAACGGTTTCGATGTATTCGCTATTGAAACGGTTGCATAACAGCGGTTCAGCGCTCCTCTGACGGAGGAAAGCCAATTTCTCACACGATATTACGCAGCACATTTATTTTTAGTGACATTCGACCGGGGTGCATTTGGACCGAGTTCATCGGCAAGGAACCAACCCACATCAACTTGTAACTGAGAAAAAGAGGTTTGAAGTTTTATTCCTGCATAAGGCTCGCTTAAAGTAAAAAATAAACTTTAACCCCTATTTACACTAACTAATTTCTGTGTTTCACTTCAGTTTTTGACAGGAGGAAATATACGGCTAGGAACTCAAAAACGTTCTTAACTCAATTTTTTCAAAAATAAGGGTTGGTTCCTTTTCAATAAACTCGGTCCATTTGTGGTGAGACCTTCGGCGAGCAGGATGAAATGGACTACATTTTGCAATTAGGAACTATAAATTCTAGCCCGGTTTAAAAACAACGTATGTGCCGTTAGCTTCCCTATGTACATAAGTGTTTCTTCAGATGAGCCAGAGTTTATAGTTCCAAACTACAAAATGCAGTCCAAACCATAAATGAAATGATACGTATCGTGATCGTATGAAGTATGTAATGATATGAAATTAATCCGTTCACTACTTTGTACCACGTATTGCCTAGCCAAATGACTCCTGATTGCACTCTGATCACTGATTATATTCCTCCAAAGGCTCTATTTACATTTGATTCTTATCACTCAACATTGGTGTGAACGCTACCTTCTTTTTTATTTTCTTTTTATTTCCACTTTTTTAAAAAGCTTTTCATCGGTCCTCCTCGGCACTTCTGATCGTTGTTTCAATATGCATTGTAACAAATTTTTATCTTGATATAATTCTCTGTTTTGTGTTTTTTATGAACAAATTTTCTTGCTGAAGATGGCATCTTGCCGAAATGCATCCAAGAAAATGAAAAGTTAATTTTTCCATCTGTTAAATGCTTGTTCTGGTAAATATTTTATTCCTCAATTTTATTTTATTGACAACACACGAAATGCAATCCTCCAGTTGAATGATAAGTATTTGAAAAGGATCCGACATTATCCGAATGAAATGCAACTTCAAAGAGAAAGCATCTTCCCGCCGTTGCTTTCTAAATTGTCTGACTTGGTGGCTGCCAAGTTTTCCGATCAACGCAGAACTCTTAACGACCGGCCGGGCGAGATAAGTGCGAGCTTTTGCAACCATCTCCGATAATCGCAGATTTGAAATTACCAACTTTTGGCACTGCGTTCCTGGTAACTAACTTAATTTATTGCCCGGCTGCACTGCAATAATTGCTATTTAAACGCGGCCGCGGGCGTCAACATTTTAACGTGAAGCGCCACGTTAAAGAGGAACGTCGTTTCAACTTCCGGACGTTGCTAAAGAGCCTGTCAAACAATTTGGAGATTGCCTTCAAATCTGCCCAAAACAAAACCTTGTATTGAGATTGAAATCGCTAAAATTTAAAAAATTCAAAACTTTCCTTACTTAAAGACTTTCACTGAAGGCAGGGTTGTAGGGTGTGCCTTATTTTTGAGTTTTGCGAAAATCAAGTTGGTCAACCCCTAAAAAGTTTCTATGTAGTCTCTAAATGAACCCCCTAAAAGGAAAAAAATTTAAAAAAATTTTAACCCGTGCCTCAAAGGGCCTAAAGGGCCTAAACCCAAAATTCAAAAATTTTGGCAAGCGACACATCAATTCTGAAGGAAAATGGCAAGTTACGGCCCTTTTAGGGCAGAAATTTCGTCCGTTTTGCCGTATCTTGAAGCGTAAGGTCACAAACGGCCCAATGACGACGTGGGGCTATGGGCTGGCGGGGCGCGCTGCGGCCGGCCCGCCGCTGAGCGTGCGCGCGCGGCAGGGTTGCGTATCGCCGCTTTACAACGGCGTAGAGGAACGAACGGTGGGGTGGGAGGGGGATATCCAGTGGAAAAGCATCCACATTTTCTATCCATATTGAAAATGCATTATACTTTTTCAATATAGATGAGGAAATATGAGCCATACACGGAAGTGATGAAAAGAGTGACAAATACATATATAGTTTGTACGGTTAGGAGTGTAAGTGGGGAAAATTTGCCATAACTACAGAACAGCCCTGAAAATCTCCGGGAAATAAAAGCTGCTATTGATGAGAGGTTTGCATGAGAGGTTTAATTAAGGACTAATTAAAAAGATAGGTGCGATGTTGTCGAATCGTAAGCCCTTTACGCGATCAAAAGCGATTAGTGTAAATTTAATTGGAAAAGTTTAAGAAAAATTTGATGAAAGAAAATTGACCCAAATTCGGGAAGTGCTTAAAGTGTTTTTCTATCATGTGAAGTGTTCGCACATGAATGTCAATGGCAGTAATTCCAATATGGAATAAAAAATGTAGAATCCCTGTGATACATAGTGTCCATGTTTTTAAAAATGTTTACATTTTTATGAGGAGTGGAGCACACCCTACAGGGTTGCCACAGAATTTAAAAAAATAAAATTCCCTGACATTTACCTGATATCCCTGACACATTTTGGTGACATTCCCTGACAATTGAAGATGTGACGGAGGGTTAAGAAGACACGATTGAATATAGTTTCCGAGCAACATTTCTTGTTCAAAATCTAAAACCCATTATTGAAAGCAAATGAAGTTGAGTTAACAACTGACATTTCCCGGGTTTTCCTGACTTTTTAAAATTCCCTGACATTTCCCGGTTTTTCCTGACTTTTTAAAATTCCCTGACATTTCTCAGTTTTCCCTGACTGTGGCTACTCTGTGAAGGCTTGTCTCAACACAAGGTTTACAAATTATCGCGTAGTTTCAAATATAAATCTTTAATATGAATCTTGACAAATTCTATGTCATTCTACTCTGTATTAATGCTGCTGTACGTTATTGATCAATTTCTTGCTTTATCTTGTACATTTCGATAACAGACGTTAACCGTGAGGCAGCACAGCGTGGCGGCGGATCTCGTCTCTAGATCACATAGAAACGACACTGCGGTAGCATGAGACAGGACGGCTGAACGGGCCTTTTTATGCCGATATATCCGTCAATAAAAGCAACACTTTCAATTTTGCAGATAATGCATTGATACGGCTATTCGTAATCTAAGAACACGCGTGTTGCATATGAAAAATGGAAGGCACCCCGGTCCCTCGTGTTATGAAGCAGTGCAGCAGCAGCCGTTGCGAATATGCGCAAAGATGAAATTATCTGATAAAAACGAAGGCAAGAGGACATAAAAAGAAATGTTCGTATTTCTAGTATCAGGACAATATATCCTACCGCCATGTCAAGACATGACAGCATATCACTCCGAGCACTGCTTCATGTGCTAGATTGATCAGAGCGCCTTCAATTCTGAGCATGCAACACGCACGTCCATAGAGCACGCATAGTTGCGTCGAGGCGTCATTACCGATGTTATTGTCCTATGCTCGGATATCATTATCAATACTGAGGCGTTAAGGAAAACGTCGTATGAATACTCCAGCGTTGTCAAATTTCCTCCGATTAGATACGAATTTCCGGGAAGACTTGCGAGCTTTTATTTTTTAAATCGATCGTATTCGATAGTGGTTCGATGTATCGTTTGCTTCAAAACAATAGGACATAACCCCGGACGGAAATTTTAAGATTTAAGTTGGAAAAAGCTGAAAATGAGAAAATTCCTGACCATTTCACTTTTCATTGCCATTTTTTACTCATAACAATGAAAAATCTACCACAAAAAACCCCGTTTCCTCAGATTACTCAACTGACTTGTGAGGCTATGCTTACATGATGAACCAATCGGTATCGATACGATCTCACCTGTTTGATGATCGAATACGATGCATATTTAGAAAATCTTTGGCGAGATGTTCAAGGACGGATGGGTGTTTGCTCCCCCTCTCCCAGCATCCACGTGGCAACTCGGGGATGGCTCCTGTAGGTGGCTGCGAGAAGTTTGCTCAACTAATGACAGGCCGCCTAGACATACGTCGATGAGTTGGCGCGAGGGGCAAAAATAAACAAGCGCACGGAAAATGCATACGGTGAAGTTCCTCGGCGCGAGTTCCACCGACCCACTCGGCATTCGAAAATCCCATCTTCCATTCTACCGCGCTAAAGGATAACGCCGTATGAGCATTCGAGAGTCGCCGAATTCCCCTCGATGAAATGTTGATTTTCGAGGAAAGTCGTGAATTCTTTCCTTTGAGATTTTCAGGAGCTTCAGTTGAAATGGCGAACAAAATTATCTGAAAAATTGGAAGGGAAATATCTTAAAGTTTACGAGGAAATTCGTGCTTTATCAAAGAGAATTTGGCAACGCCTCAAGGTTCATACGGCGCTTTTCCTTAGTGCGGCAGCATTCGATCCGGGAATGTAAACCTCCAGCAGGGTGGCACCCGAAGAGACTCCACGACCTATCCTCGATATCCTGTCCGAGGGACACTTCGGATTTTAGAGTGTTTCTGAAATTCCTCTGAATACTTCACCATTGAAGGGCACACCTTGTGTGCCTTTTCGAATTTAGTGATTTTTCGCAGCTGTTTTTAACGTATTTAAAAGCCGCGGACAAGTACCTTTTTTTGACACAAGATGCGTCTATCGATGAGGAATAAGAATCCGCTCCTAACTCAATTTCGCAAAAAATTGGACTTGTGCCCTTTTAGTATTTAGTGATTCAATTAAAATGATAATGATGGTTTGTTTATCTGAAAATAATAGTAACTAGCCTATTGGCAGCCATTTAAAAAGTTTGGACTTGTGTCCTTTTTGTATTTAACGGGCTAAGATGACAGGTTTAAGCAGTTAATTACTGATTTAAACCAATTTTTTTTTTACAAAATGCTTATTTTCAAGCTTCTAGCTGACAAAAGATACAAAATATCTTAAATGCTTCTCTTCTTGCCTACCATGGACTCGCTCTTTTCGAGTTTCACTAGTTTCCCTGGTTATCAAAAAAATGTCTGCCCAGAACTTTTTAAATTCAGAGAGGATGTAAGGTTCCAGATCTGGTATCTTCTTATCAACAATGGGAACAACCCCTGTGTACAAGTGTTTTGTGGGTAAACAAAGTGGCATTACATTTGATTTTCTCAGTTTGAATGTCAAAGTCGCACAAGACCCGAAATACACTCAGAAACATTCAAGACCATGAAGTTCTCAGTCGTGCATGCAAATTGATGATGAATGGAAATTATAAATGTATCCACCACTGGTCTACCGTAATGCCTACCGCTCTGGTTTCTTGGGACTTGACCTGCTTAAAATGGTATTCTTTGAACCATCCTTAGAAGTCAAACATTATGGCCTGGTCAACTAAAAAAACTCAAAGTTTCCCAACAATTTTTGAAGCCTTGAGAATTAAATCAACGTATTGGTCAATAGTATACAGTCTTTTCGTTCTCCTGAGCTTACGTTTTATAAACCCAAATGCCCAGTCGTAAGGGAGTTACCTACGAATGCCCACGTTGAGGAAAGAATAATTTTAGCGTCTTAATTTTCTCTGTTTCAACCAAGGACATTAAAGAAAGTATGAGAGCGTGGTTTTTATTTTGACCCCCGCAATTATCACAAAATATATGCAATTCATCGATTTATTCAATAATAGTGGATAACAAAAGATATCACATCATCTGGGGTCTTGCGGGCAGATGTTTCATGATAAACATACAACATAATGGTGTCGTCTCTTAAATTATGAATTTCAAAAATGTCAACAGAGAGCTGACGAAAACAGTATAAGTTTCTTGTATTGGAAAACACGTGGTAGAATCGGATTCCGAAAGTTATAGGTTATGTTTCCACGCCAGCTGATCCGCGCACAAAGATTCGAAAAGGGCACATGTCCGGGACATTTGATGTGTGGGAAGATGGATTCCGATGGCGATTTGGAGTCGCAGAGCAGTCTAGTGCGCTGAGGTAGCGGCTTTATTTATACATATAAATTGAGGGGGCTTGGGGTTGAAACATGGTGATGGGGGATGTTCATACCTGTCTGAAGAAGACTCGGCGGCTGGAGGGGGCGATTGGAGGTGGGGGAGTAGTGGTCGTTGTGGTAAGAGCGGAGGCGGCGGGCGAGGCTGGCGCCGGGGCCCCCTTGCGAGGGCGGGACGGCGCCCCCCAGGGAGGAGGGGCGCTCGGGGCGCTCCGGGCGCGGCGTCCCGGCCATCGTCATCGACATCTGCTGCATGTTCTGCATGTTCATGCTCTCCATTCTGCCCATGCTCATGTTCTGCATGCTGTGCATGTCCAGCGACGGCGCCGGCGGCGGCGGCTGCTCGCTCACTATGCAGCTCCCGTTCACAGCCGGCATGCTTTCAGTCTTGTCCTTCTTCAAATCTGAAACACCAAAACCAAACCCAACCGTTACAAACTTCCTTCTTTCTACAGACTTAAACATCACCACCGGTGTCTACGAAAACAGGCTGGCAAAAAATCCCCACTTTTTCAGTACATTCCCGAGAAAGTCAGTGCCTCCTCAACCGAAAAATTCGGTACTTTATCAGTACCTCCATTAAACTAAATACGAAACATTTAAATTTCTCGCTTAGTGTGCGATAAAAATGACGGAAAAATGAAATAAATTCCGGACCTTCTTGCGGAATTTCTGCACTTTTTCAGTACTTAATTACCGCCCTTACAAAATCAGTACTATTTCCGGACTTTCCGGGAATTCCGGACTTGTAGACAACCTGATGACTCGAGTTATACGCCAATGACATCATTATGGGTCATTACTAGAAAAGAGATCATCAATTTACAAATTACAGGGTTGCCGAAGAACTTAGAAGATGAAATGCCCTGACATTTCCCTGACATATTTTGGCGAAAGTCCCCGACAATTGAGGATATGCCAGATGGTTAACAAGACATCATTAGAAATTGTTTTCAGGCAAAACATGTTGTTCGAAACGTCGAATCCATTCTGGACAGCAAATAAAGATGACCCAGAAATAATTTTCCCCTGACATGTTCGTCACTTCCCCTAACTTTTTAAAATTCCCTGACATTTCCCGGTATTCCCTGACTGTGTGGCAACCCTGAAATAATTCCTGTAAGCAATTATTCCTCCTTCCGAGACGCTCAGATTGCCTACACATAATATTGAAGGCGAACTAGTCGAACTAAGTGCGACACGGAGTAGGTAGCGTCATGTTCATCCGCTCATATATTAAAAAACTAGAGGGCTGTGCTCCATGGGCCGCCACGCGGCCCAACCCCCAGAGGGCGCTTCGCGCTCTCTTAAGCCCGCTTCGACAAAAGAACGACCATTTGGCTCTCATTACCCGACTCTCATTCGTTCAATCTCCCTCTAGCCGGGAGCAATTGGACCGCAATAAGAATCGAATAACCAAGTCGGTATTTACTTCAAACTTCACGCCAAGACTGAAATGAAACGGAACGAACGAAACGGAGCGTTTCGTCACTTTTGGGTGGTCTGTAGCGAAAGGAGCATACCTTCGATTCACTTGCCTTTTACCCTTCTAACAGACCAAAAATCAATATTTCCCGCTTAGTTCAATTTTGCTCCTCTTTCTGAGCTCCCTAGTCTACTTTTATATATAAAAAAAAAAAAAAAAAAAAAAAAAAAACCTGGGTCCTATTTCCAAAATCTGGTTAGAGCGGGCTCAGTTAGGGACTATCATCTGTCGATAAAAGCAAAAATCATGGAAATTGGCCCAGTAGAACGCAATTAACACAAGACGACATTTTAACGTTTATAATTGCTCAAAGGCGAGCTCTCCAACACACTAGTGTTGGCGCCTGCAGCTTGTTTATAATTTGCATCATTTTGACGTTGCTACAATAATTTCTGGCTCAGAATAGAAATCTTCATTTCAAAAGATACAGCCTCTTTTAAAATAGAGAGTATTTACAATTTTGATGGTTAAAAATATATGAGGAGCATTTTGAAAGGAAAAATACGAGGATAGTGCGATGGCGATGCACTTTCGAAATAGTGAAAATTCGAGAGCTTTTTGTAAAAAAATACCAAATTTCGTAAACTGTTACAATTTGACTTGGGCATACAGCTCTGGCATTAGATAAAATGCCTGTTTTGACTACTTGTCTGCTACAGATACATTCATATTCGCGGTATCATGCCATCAATAAGCCAAATGAGGGGCTTGGAGGACAAGGCACATGAGTATACTTCTTGAAGACATTTAGATATTCATAAACTCAACTAAAACTAGTTTGAGAGTATATTCTGTGAAAAATTCACGACTGAAATCCAACTTGAAAGCATCAAGAAGTGAGTTTTCACTTTCTTTCTGCCATGAGGCTCCATGTGATTTTGAAACTTCAAACACGTATTTCTTGAAATAGCAGAAACTGCTCTTACGCGCTTTATCCTCCAAGCTCCTCAAGTAAAAGAAGAATAGACATGCACTGAAAAAAAAAATTTCGGTGTATTTACTAAGAAAACGGTAAAATTACCAAGAATTCAGGGTTCTATTTGATCCCAGTTTTTTCTTGGTAAAATTACCATTTATGAAATTGGTAATTTTACTGAGAAATCTCGGTAAAATTATTGAACTTTCTCCGTAATTTTACTGGACCTTGGTAAAAACGCCGATTTTTTTTTTTGGGCTGTGGTAGAATTACCGAGATAAAATGGCAAAGTTACCAGGAACTGATTATCAATAAAAGCGGTATTCTTACCTGGAAAAAACAGTAAAAATACCGGTTTTTAGGTAAGCATACCAGTCTGTTTTGGTAAAATTACCGATAATTCGTAAAAAAAAGTGAGATGGTAAAGGTACCAACGTACCTTCGTAAAAATGCCGATAGTTTTTTTTTCAGTTTGTGTCCATAGGCTCTACATCAAAGGGGGGGGGGATACCGTACTTTTTGAGACCTCATTAAAACGTTCTCCAGTGAATAAATGAGAGGCATTCGTTTCCTGCAAATTCAATTTCAGAGGGAAATGCACGACCCCCTGAAAAACAGGCGCCCCAGTTGCAAGTCTCGTGCGCGAAAAAGGGTCGGAAGGGCCGAGATACGAACTCGGTCCTATCTGATTACACAGCCGGTGCCAATAGCCACCGACGGCCAAGCGAAAATAAAACGCGCCAGCGCTGCCAACTCTCCGATAGCGGAGATAAAGAGCGGAAACAAGCGCATTCCGTAACCCGGGCTGGGATAAAAATAAAAACGTGGCAACGTGGAGATGGAGCTTGCGGCTGCGGTTATACGAGCGGGAGGCGCCGCGAGGAGGTGAAGGGAGAGGAAGGGAGGGTCACCGTTTACACATCATATTTTGTGCAGTATTTTTGACACTCCATGCAACAACACCACCGGTGAACACTGACTCACTAAATGGCACGAAGATAAATCATGAATGCAGAGCCACTGGAGAACATTGCCACATCTACGCGAACCGAGTAGACAGAGCATTGTCCCAGAGTCATCACCGGAAGATCCATCTCTGATTGGCTAAGCAATCTCAGGATTCATGAGGCTCTTAAGAACCGAGAAAATGAACGACGCAGGGTGTCTCCAGACTCTGTAAGCAAAAATTTCCCCATTTCTTAAGGTTTTCCTTGACCAAAAGGATCAAAACTCCCTGGAAATTCCTTTCACATCGACAACTTGCACGCTTACAACTGAAATGGACCACTAGACAAGGGACGAATTTAAGCGATCTGATACATGTTTCTTAGTTAGAATTTCACGTAGAACACGATTAGCGCAACGAATATTACTGAAACTAACTCCTAACGAAGATATCAACGTTTTCATTTCACATTTGTTACGAGGAATTTGAACTGCCCGCTCACAAAAAACTCAAAGCTCTACGAGAGTCAAATCGCGCACTACAACGGTTTCAGCAAGCTTCTCAATCGAGCAATGTTCATTTCCCACCATATGTTGTTCAAACTATAAGCAATTTGCTATAGCTGAGCCAAAGCGTCAAAATTGAGGTTGCCAGATTTTTAAATCGCAGATACTGTCATGATAACGTTTAGCGCCCGATGTGAATCACGTAGAGCATTGAGTTTTCATGAGCGGGTGGTTTGAATTTACGCATAAAGAATCATTAAATCTCTTCGTAAGGAGTTCATTTCGGTAATTTTCGTTGTCCGCATCGTGTTCTACGTGAAATTTTGGTTAAGAAACATGTATCAGAATGCTGAAATTTGTACCTTGTCCAATGGTCCATTCTGAGGCTTGGAGGACAAGGCGCATACGTGCAGTTTAAGAAAAAATTGTGATATTCATGAATTCAACTAAAACTAGTTTGAAAGTATATTTTGTGAAAAATTCACGACTAAAATCCAACTTTAAAGCATCAAAAAGTCAGGCTAAACTTCTTTTATGCCATGAGGCTCCATGTAATTTTGAAACTTTCAACACGTGCTTCTTGAACTTGCAAAAACTGCACTTGTGCGCCTTGTCCTCCAATCCCTTCAATTGAAACAAATAAATAAATAAATAAATAAATAATTGGCATCAATTCCCTGCAAATGACGGAGGCACGTGTGCCTCTTTTCCTCAGCTATTAATAGTCCAACTAACTGAAAAGGTAATTCCTTCTTTAAAACTCTACTTTCAGACTCAATATTTGGAATGCAACTCAGAGCAATGATTTGCAAATTTTGTCTCCACCACCGGGATTCAAACCCGGGACCTATTGGTCTGGAGTCAGACGCGCTGACCGCTAGGCCAACCTAAACGGCTAACCTCGTACTCGTAACGGTGATTTTTTTTATCACTTGGCGGATTCCATTCTCATGGTATGATCCTTCTTTGAAAATAAAATGTTGGTCATTATTGTTGCGACAGTAATTTTAAATTAATTTTCATCAATAACACGGCAACGGCGCTTGGCGGCCTCATTTTTTTAATGTTTCTTGGCGTTTCCATGCTAATGAGATGCTACGATGGCGCAAGCGAAGCGGCGAGTTTACTGTTAAATGGTCTCCTCTTACAGTTCAATTAATTGTTTTCCACCACCTACGGGCTCAAAATGTATACCGGAAAACAACCTCAAGTCCCTTGATGGTTACTGATACTGCTCCGCTATCATACATTCACACGTAAACAGTTGTATCTTCAAAGAGGTGAAAAAGGATGGCTCATGGCTCATGCAGAGGGGAAATTTCTCATCTGCTAAAGGTCTGACCGGGGTTTGAGGAAATACATCTCCAGAAAAGATATGCATCCACGATTGCCACAGAATTTGGAAGATAAAATTCTCTGACATTTCCCGGACACATTTCAGTCAAATTTGTTGAAAATTTAAGATATGACAGAGGATGGTTAAAAAGACAAAAAAATAGTTTTCAGGCAAAATTTGTTGTTCAAAACGGCAACCCATTCTAAATAGCAAA